TTAACGGATTTCATGATGTCCATCTCGTGACCCGTATTGATAAGATGTCCGGCAATGTCACTGTTCTAAATGTTTGTTGGTATACAGGGATCACGAACTAACTAATATCACTTAGAGGACCATTGGAGATCGGGGTACACTGGACAGCTTTCGTCCCATTTCGGGGCTTTCCAGAGGCAAGAGTCCATCATTTCACCAGGGACCAAATCCAAAGGCTTCACGTTATCATATACTTTTTGCAACTCAGTTTACGGATAGTTCAAAGAAGCGTACATTTCTTAGCTTGTTTTAGATTATTATTATTATTCTCTTCGATCGGTTTAATCTGGCTCCATGATCGCCCATCATTTTTTGTCTCCTCTCCACATGGTCTCCTGCATTTCTCCCTCTGATCCACACTCGATATTGTGGCTTTCTATTAGAGTCTCACTCGTGGGCCCAGCGAATTGTGTCATTCAGCGGTCTACTCTGTACGTATCTAATCCTTTTCTATTTCCTTCTGCGTCGATTTCTATTTATTTATTTTATTTTTGATTATGGCTTGATTTCACACCGTACTCTTGGTACAAATATGGAATTTTCAGTATGTGATATCGGTAACCCAAATTTTGCAGGCCGACCATAGATATCAGGTGTACTTTGGCAGGAGATCGAACCCCGGACCATGTGTAGGTGATGGTCGACTCAAGAGTACTTTGAGGTGACCAGCTGACTGTTTTATTTATTTTTCCTCCTTGGTAGCCAGGTTCCCTTTAACATATTTTATAGGTTCCTCCTGTGTTGATCTTTTCCTGGATTGAGTCCTGGTTATCTGATTTTGTGGCCTGAGGTCTGTTCTGTTTCAGTCGTCAGTCTGTCGTAGGATTGTCTTTCGTATATCCTAAAGCTCTTCTTCACTTCTTTATCCTGTTCAGTGTACACTGAACTCAGCTTCTCCTTCTGTCGCCCATTTTTGCATTGAGTCATCTTCTTTTTCACCAGCCGCATCTCCTCTCTTCTATTAGCTTCCAGGCAGGTATCCGTTGAAAGCAATTCCTGGTCGTGTCTCTTCTTTCTTCCTAGAGCATTCGTACACGTTTCTTTGAACATCATCTTCAGAGAGTTAGTCCCAATGTTCTTTTATACAGGCTTCCTCAGTGAAACTTCGCTCAAACTTCGCTCTGATGGCTGCAGTGAAGGTATCCCTTCAGTTTCTAAATATTAAACTTGAATTGTGGTCTGTCACCAGTTGCTCTGAAGGCCTTTAGCTTGACTCTGAAAGTTCCGTGAACTATATGATGGTCTGAGCCCACTTCTGCTCCCCTTCTCAAAATTGTGTCCAGCAGGCTAGCTGCGTCTCCACTTCCTTGAGCAGCATTGAGACGAAATCTGCCTGGATTGTGTGTCTGTCGGGAGAAATCCGCGTTGCCTTGTGTTTCAACACACTGCCTCCGATTACCAAGTCATTGAAAGCGCAGAAGTCTGCGAAGAGTCGTGTATATATATGGATTGATTATAGCTTGAAACCACACAGTATTTTTGTTACAGGTATGGAATTTTCAGCATGTGATATCGGTAGCCCAAAGTTTGCGGGCCGACCTTTGATATAAGGTATGCGTTGGCAGGGGATCGAACCTCGGACCATATGCATGGTCGGCGAGAGTTCTAACCGCTGTGTCACCACGTACAAGATTAAAACTCAGTATGCATCTGTTACTCTCTATAACTGATGAATTAAAAACGGCAGTTTTCAAGGCGATATACTGTCAAACCTAAGGAGTTATGGGCAAATGTTTCGTTCAAATACCTAACCTTTTAGCATTTCATACACAATGAATTCGTAGAGGAAATGCTATACGGTTATTATTAAGTCTCCAGTTTTGTTGCATTACCTCCTATCTATCTACTTGGTTTGGAGTACAATGTCCTGTGTTTTTTGTAACTGTTAATTATTAAGTGCATATAGAGAGGGCTTCTGTTGTGCAAAGAGGTTGGGGACACATTGCCTTTGATTAATTCTTGTTATATTTTGTAAATGACCCTGGATGATGAGTCAGCAGAGGCGGTGTGACAGGTGTTGACGGGATATTCAGTTATGGAGCTTCTGATTGAACCAGTGCTCTTCTTTATGGCCATGCTGGGTAATGTTCTCTAACACGCACCTAGCTCTGACCGAGTAGGTCAACTGACAAATGTACGTCGGAGTGGTCAGACACGGAAGTGTGTCCATCTCACTGCTTAGGAGAAGTTGTCTTCTGAAGAATATCACTCTTAGAGTTGTTTCAGCAAGGGTATTCTTTAGGGAACTGGAGATTCTCCTCGTTGGGATATCTGCCACGTAGTCCCCTTGGAAATCCAGATTCAAATAAAAAACCAGATTAAAAAAAAACTGCTTCAATCTGCAGAAGCAATGGCAATTCACATATTGAATCTTGAACTCTGCATACAAAAGAAGTTTGTTCAGTCACTAAATCTACAATGGTCCAAATACAGTGTTTTCTTTGGTACTGAAGTGGATTCTTCTCCTTTTAGCTTTGGTTTCATATTCTCCTCCATGAGACGTGCTGGGTACCCATTTCGAGCCATGATATTGCTCAGGAATCGGAGCTCTTCTTCTAAGCAGTCACTGCTGCGAACTCTCCCGGTACGAAACGGTTGTTCTGTGAGAAGATGAGAACTGTTTTTCGACTGACAGTTATCCAACCGTAGAAGTTTGTCAGTTGACTATTCCCCGATGGTTTTTTATTTAGTTATCTAAATTTTAATAGACTCAAGACCATTAATTTATGTTCTGTATACGACGATTACTAACTTCACTTTCTCGTGATGACATCCGACAATTCACCATTTAAACCCTTTAAGTGTTTGTTTGCGAGGATTTGATTGATTTCAAATTGGATCTCGAATAAACATCATTAATAATAATCATAATATGCTTTATTCCAAAACAGTACTTGTGATACAGAATGGAATTCTCAGCATTTTTACTACAGTATTGCATCCAGTTAGTACATTATCAATAAATAGAATTCTACATAGATTAAGGAAACCACAGTTCATTATTACAACAACACATTGGCATGTCGGTAGCAAAGGTCAAGCTGAAACAGTGTTTGAAGGTGTTAGAAAAGTGGGAGCTGTCTTATTCTTATTTTATTTTATTTTGTTTTTGATTACAGCTTGATGCCACACCGTATTTTCAATACAAGTATGGAATTTTCAGCATGGATATCCGTAGCCCAAATTTACAGGCCGACCATAGATATCGGGTGTGCGTCGGCAAGGGATCGAACCCCGGACCATGTGCATGGTCGGCGAGAGTCCTAACCACTGTGCCATCGACGGCGTAAGCGAGATAAAGAAACAAAGCAGCACATAACGGAAAAAGAAGAGAGAGAAAAGGAAAAGAAAGAAAGGAAGTGTTGTACCTATTGATGATGTGAGTTGGAATGACGAGATCCAGTTGTACTACTGACTGTTTAATGAATTATAGGTGTCACGCCTAATGCTTTCTTTATCACACACACTATGGACAACCACGAAGTACTGGATAGCTGTTCTGTCCTGGTTTTAAGCTCTTCAGTAGTACGCAGATATGACCTTCTTCAGGGATCGAATCTAGAACCAGGCTACTGGATTCCATCCCAGTGTTTGAATGGTCAACATGTTGGCCTCATAACCTGAAGGTTCTGGCTTTGATCCTTGACAAGGTGATGATTATCTAGTTCGGAGGAGTCCGGAACTAAAACAAAGCAACTGTCCAATGCTACCTGTTTGTTCTCAATGGTTCTCCAACTGTTGTTTTTCCCAGATTAAACTTGGAACAATAAAATCTCTACAAATTAACACTTCGAGACTGACAATACTGAATTTCGCCGCCATAATCCGAACAATAATCACTATCAACCAAATAATAATGGTCACATTCATTAGTTAATTTTGTCTTAATCACTGTTATTTTACAATATGAATTGTACATTTATATGAGATTACCATATTTTCTGACCATTCTCGATTACCTCATTGGTAGCCTTTTAAAACCCTCCGCTGTTTGTAAACTGAAGCCTGAAAATTGACGTTAACATTTGTATACTACTTATAAGTAGCACATGTTTTCAGACGTAAAATGTTTACAAGTCTGATCAATAATAGAGGCAATTCGACAGTACGTAGTCATCAGTTTACTACGCGTCGGATGCAGGGGCTTCAATTTAGGGAATCTAGCGCGTTGATCACTCAGGCATTGCGATGGAACCCAATGACCAATGAATTCTAACTTCTGCCTATTTGCAAAATATAGCTAAACCCTAATGGGTTCAAATTATTGAAGAGCACCAGACCCTGGCGAAACAATTAGCCGTGCAATACTGTCTCCTGTTGACTTTCGTGTTCAAGCTTGAAATCAATGAAATTCCTGGAAAAACAGAACACTAGTGTGATCGACTACAGCACAAGTGTGCCTGAAGTTCTAGTTGGAAGTTGTAATCACCAGGGTGCACCAAGTTAGGTGTTAGGACAAGCACTCATCGATGACATTAACTGGCGAGAGTGCACTGTACATCCTGGATTTACAGAAGTTAGAATTCAAAGGCTGGCCAATGGATTCCATTCTATGAGCATGCAGATGAAGAGTCCCAAACAAGGACGAAAAAGAGTCAAATGAATCAAATCGCTACAAAACAACACTTGAAAATGCAAAATATAGAAATCGAAAAACAAACACAATATAGTATGTATATATTTGTGATAATTAACTGAAACGTTTAGAAAAATCATTTTTACGTACATGTAATCAATAATTGATATGAAAATAAATAAATCGGACTGAATAATTTACATCCTGAACAAATAGTTCCTTCCTTTTGATTCGTTTGTCAACCTTCAGGAATCTGGAATGTGAAAGGAATGTCAAGTTGGATGGCTTTCTTTTCTTTCGAAATACTGAGTCGTATGAATCAGTAATCCTTCATGTGTAGACTCCATAAGAAGGAGAGTGACATCTTAATTTGACGTTTTATCAATCATTGAATATGATTCTCTAAATTCCACTGATACTTAAGTGATGAATGAAGATAAGGCGGCTTGGAAGAAGAGGAGATCATTGATGATGATGATGACAACGGTACTGGAGTTATTTCTTCTGGAGTAAGAAGAAATCCTGTAGGCATCTTTAAATCATTCGGTGTTTCTAAATGTTCCACTGGCGAGTTTTGTCCATCTGAAAAGAAAAGTAAGAACAATGAAGGCACACTGACTTTCCCTCTCACTATGTATATACATATAATTTTAAAAGAGTAATCGGCAGTTCATGGGTAGAATACTCGCCAGTCGCATTGGTGAATCTATAACTTTGCAGAAATCGAAGTTAGTCCACTGTAAACTAAAGAGAATTCTTCTGTTGCTGTTACCATGGTTACAAGCTGGTTGTTTTCAACCAATGTATGTTTGTAACATTATGTGATATCATGTCACCACTGTTCCCGTATTCACCCTGATTACAACTCATTGCCTAAATAATTTTTCTGATTACGTAACCGAATCTCCCCTATGTTCTACGGCTATATGTCCATAATAGTTAAAAGATTTGGCGGCCTGCTTAAAACTTGGGCTACCAAAACTTCCATCTCTCTATCTCTATTGCATATATATATTCTCTCCTTCGTTTTGTTCTAATCGATTAAGATGTCACCTCTACTAATGATATTATCTACTTTTTTGTGTGTTGAAAATACTTGCAAGCTTCTGATTTGCCTGATTGTGGGCGTGGCAACGTGTTGCAGTACAACATGAGATAACTGTTCTTTAGTTATGTATGTCCTTGAGTCTCAAAATGTACTTCTGAATATCTCACAATCGGCTTTCAACTTGATATCGTAGATTTCTTGAAGGAAGGAGACAAAGCAGATATCTCATGGAATGCTTTGCGCTTCATCTCAGAGGGAGCATTATGTCACACGAAGGATATACTGTCAATTAATTAATATTTTTCTTGAAGATATTGTACGAAGAGTGGAAAGTTATCATGCAATAAACTCCTCTGAAAACTCTGTACAATTTATAAATATTGTTCAGAATAGAGATGTTATTATTTAGACAAAGCAATAAGAAGACGTAATTTGTCTGGATCGTGTAATGTGTATTTGCGCAACATATTTCGAACAATCTGACCACACACGCGCGTGTCATAGGAATATATATGAAATTAATAAAGAGTTAAGATGTGAGAAAACAGACAAGTTAGGTCAAGTTAAAAGGACATATTGAAGGTCAAAATAACAATGAAGACCACTAAACCAAATAACAGAGGTAATAGTACATCTGCTATGGTATCGAAACAAAATTTACCAAGGAAGGTGGTTTAGTGTGATGACGAATTGTTCCTTTGATGAACGCATACATGTGGTTTAAATTTCCTAATTGCCAGTTAGAGCTTCCAAAAACTTTAGGATACGCCGTCCCCAAACACGTTTTTTGGATGGATAGGTATAAAAGACGTGTAAACATCAATTTTATGTCCTGTCCCATCTATAATGTTTTGTAATAGAGGAGATAGGTTGTTTGTTCTCACAATTAATGGGTTCTGTGGGTTGTATTTGCTTCTGAAGCCCTTACTTGTGGAGATTGATGAGTCCTCCCTAAGTAAGTGTACCCTGACGTACATATAGTGGGATGTGACATCATTTTTCGCATGTTCAAAGGGGTTAGATGGATATATCGGCTTCACATTCTCAATTATTATGATATTAGCTGCATAAAAAGTCTTTTTAACAGCAGCGTCAAATCTTTGTCTAGTTATCAAGCTCCTATGATGCCCCGTATAGGGTAGCTTGATGTACACGTCTTTCTTAGGGGCGAGTTAGAGAGTGGGTCTTGGTGCTCCATTGACTACTTTATATCTCATGATGAACTTGTCTGGATAATTGTTATCAACTAGAGTTTGTGTCAACTTCCTTTCTTCCTCATCAAGTGTATCTTCAGTGCATATCCGTTGGATTCTACTGAAGAGGCACCTTACTAAGGCCCTTTTGTACTGAACAGGGCAGAAAATGTGGTAATTAAGACACTGTCTTGTCCAGGTAGGTTTTCTATAAATAGATCTTTTTATTGACCCATCAAGCCGTCGACTAAGCAATATGTCTAGGAAAGATAAACAGTTATCTTCCTCTTCTGCTGAAGTCAGTGATATGTTTGCTGTTCTGAACTTCATTCATTTGATTTAAAATTGAGGTGGCATAACAAGGCGTATCACACATGATCCCAACATACAACATATATAGAGAAGATTTATAGCTCAGGTGGATGATTTGCAATTAGTTGTGTTCTCTGATCTGGTTGGTTTAATTGTGGAGCTTTCGTCGTCCTTATGGACGAGATCCCCCTTCAGTGCAAGTTTTAGCATAAAATGAAAGAAAATTCATTCTATCATATATAGAAAATATCTCTGAAATAACAGCTAGAATACTAAGACCATTTGGAATAGACATAGCACACAAACCAGCCAGCACAAACTTTTCATTCGATACTGTGCAAATTAAAGATCCAATAGAAAAAGAAGATAAAATTAATACCATTTACAAAATAAAGTGTATGAAATGACATAAACATTACGCCAGTCAAAGTGGGCATCCCCCTTGAATCCGAATCCAGGAACACAAGTCAGCTGTGAAAAGACACGACATGTAATCTTTCATATCAATGCATGTGGATAATTACATACACTAATTTGATTGGGATAATGTCAAAATTTCAAACAGAGGAAACACCAAAACTGAGATCAGAGAACTCCTAGAAGCCTGGTACTCAAACGAAAATGCAATTAACAAACATGTTAATATAGGCCAAATCTACCAACTAATAAAAAGTAAATCATGTGACGAGAAAGTTAAAAGTCCAAGTCAATACAAAATGATCAATACAGATGTAAAGACGGTTACCTGGAGACGCAATTCTACCATTCATGGAGTTCATTTTATGCTAAAACTTCCACTGAAAGGAGATGTTGTGTAGAAAGTGGACAATGAAAGCTCCGCAAATAAACCAGCCAGCTAGGAGAACACAACTATTTGTAATGTTATCAATGTTAATAGTTCTTTAACTAACATTGATGTATTAGTATAGAACCTCACGAAGAAGTTATCGGAAAGAATATTCGTTGTTGGCTAACCAGTCTTTTGAAATTTGTAATAGGAATCTGTAAGCAACCGTGTTTGGGAAAGTTCATCTCTTTCATTACGAACCCCTAATATATCAAAATGGGATTGAATGACTACAGGAAATGATATCAGCCAAAAGTAACCTCTTTTCTCAACTACTTATTTCGTTGATAGCTGTTTTAATGAGAATTATTCATAAATAGTCACAACTATTTTTATGAGTTTGACGACGCATGAATTGATATCAGTTAGAGAACCATTGAAAGCAAGGGAGTACTGGACAGCTGTTTCATATTAGTTTGGGACTCTCCAGGAGTACACAGCCATCTCAAGGATTCTAATCCGGGACCTTCTGGTTACGAGGCCAGAGACCTCGTATACCATTAGGCCACCGGGACTCCACCCGATAGCCAGCTCATGAATTCCAACTTCTGCCAATTCATGACACAGCGCGACCGCTTCGAAATATCTTCGATGAGTAACTGTCCTCACCTTAGACCTGCTGCCCCCTACTGGTCACGGCTTCCCACTAGAACCCCAGGTAAGTACCTACCTGAATAGGACCAGTCGCTAGTGAGCATGCCATTGATTTTCAAGTATTACTTTGTAGATTCTTTGTTCACCAATTGTACTCTTTTGAAATCTATAATGTGTATCTTGAAACAAATATGCTTCTTACAATTCACCTCCCTTTTATATAACTGAGACTTTTGGGCTAGGAAAATGAGATCACTCCAAAAACAGAACTTTTTTTCTGAACTACTTAATTCGTTCATAACTGCTTGAATGAGAATTATTCATGAATATTTTATTGTATCAGTCTGTTAATTGCAAAGGTCAAATTATTAGGCATCAAGCTCGAATGTAACATGAAACTTAACTAGACTGCCCACCTACTTATGAAATGTGCACTGAAGAAGAGACAAAATGTATAATGAAATTTGCTTGAGGTCAGTTGCCTTATAATCACAAAGGAAAATGGATAATTATGCCAATGGTGAACTCATACATTTGAATCTTAATGTTCCCTATTAGGTGTGGGAATGAATATTTATGTATTCCAAACAGTATGTGCTTTCACTTGCCTTCAAATGCACCTTAATTGAGGGGGTGATGTGGGGTATAAACTGTTTATTCCCAAAGGAGGTGACCAATAAATTTGTCTTCAGGATAAAATTTTTGTTAATTTAGTGACTTATCCATCTGTGTAATCTTTTAAAGATCATAAAGAAAGTTTGATAAGAGTATTTCGCATTCAGGTGTGGTTTTCCTACATGCTATTTTGTTTTTCTCGTTATATACTACTTGAATTGTGTGAGTAGTTTGATACAACTCACATAAACTTGTAGGCATTGTTAGCCAGATCGAAGTTGCCTAAACTTCTGACTGGCCACAGTCTGAGCGGTTTGAATTGATTCTCTTCTCTAAGCTGAGTCAAGCTTGGCATAACGTGCGTCGGTGGCACAGTGGTTAGGACTCTCGCCGACCATGCACATGGTCTGGGGTTCGATCCCCTGCCGGCGCACACCCGATATCTATGGTCGGCCTGAATTTGGGCTACCGATATCCATGCTGAAAATTCCATACTTGTACTGAAAATACGGTGTGGAATCAAGCTGTAAATCAAAATAAAAAAATAAATAAATCACTCTGATAAGGCTAGGCGTCAAACGAGTAAGGGACGGTCGTCAAGTGTTTACAAGACTTCTGTCTGTTTGGCCAGCAAACACGAAACACACTGGTTGATATGAGTGGCAGTCAACTACTTATATCAGTCAATCAGTCAGTAGTATGTAGCGCCATGAATTTATGTTCACTTTCTTGATTGTCATTTATGATATCAAAGTGACGATGTATTGTGATTTGAATAAATGTTGTCTGTAAAGGAAACTGTGTCAAGCAGCCAACTTATGTATCACATTCTCCAGTAGGGACAGTTAATCCAGTCTAATGTTAAGGATAAGATACCACTTTTGGCCACCTCAGTGTATATTTACCAATTTACTTTTTCGCAACGTCAACTCCACAAGCGTATTCTCGAACACTGTCCAGCTTGGTTAGCTAGTCAGAGAAGAAAACAAGAATACTAGCAACTCCATCCTCGAATACCTTGTCAAGTCTGGACATCGAGCACCCCCACCCATGAATGCTTCACAATGCTACACATAGTCCCTCAATATCGTGCGGAAGGACTTCGAATACGCCACCTGTACATAGCTGAATCATTGGCTACTCGGGATCTGAAACCGGACTTCTGAATTCAAAAGCACCACATACATTCACTCGCTCTACCGTGGCCAGAGTGACGTTCTTACTATGATTTTGTTTCTTTTTTTTTATTGTGTAAGTTCACTATTATTATTATTTTATTATAATTATTATTTTTACGAGTTGATCACGGATTGATATCAATCAGTTAGAGAAGCATTGAAAACCAAGGAGTACTGGACAGCTGTTTCATCCTAGTTTGAGAATCATCGGCAGTACGCAGCCACTGCCAGGGTGCGAACCCAGGACCTTCCGGTTACAATCAACCAAGCGCGTATACCATTCAGCCACTGGGACCCAATTCAATGGTTAGCCAATCAATTCTAACTTCTACCAATTCGTGATTTAGCACGACCCCAAGCATTGTCGTAGGTGGGACATCCATCCACACTGATACCAATCCGTGACCAACTAGTAAAAACAGAATTAACCCTTACAAACCAAACTATAGAAAATTAATCTGATGCTCGCCAGTGACCTGCTACAGGATGGAGTTTCCTGGAGTTCTAGTGAGAAGTCGTGACCAGTGAGGTCCATCCAGATGTCATGTGTGTAGATGGATTTCCCACCGATTACGTTGGTTGGTGCCAGCGGCGCTAAATGCATCATGAATTGTTAGGAGTTAGAATTGATTGGCTAACCATTGAATTGGGTCCCAGTGGCTGAATGGTATACGCGCTTGGTTGATTGTAACCGGAAGGTCCTGGGTTCGCACCCTGGCAGTGGGTGCGTACTGCCGATGATTCCCAAACTAGGATGAAACAGCTGTCCAGTACTCCCTGGTTTTCAATGCTTCTCTAACTGATATCAATCCGTGGTCAACTCGTAGAAACAAAACTAATCCTTACAAACCAAACTATAGATAATTATTATTGCCAGCATCCATATTTTATTATCACTCTTTTACTGTTTATTAATAACATTTCTTTTTTATACAGATTTTATGTGAAAACACTTTATCGTCTCTCCACTAGTTTTCGTTTATTCTACACACTCTTATTGATTAGTCATTATCGTACACTTATCACGTCATGTCAACCTTTGCCTCTTTTCAACCTCGAATTAGTCACCCCACCCAGGTTACATCTTAAATTACGTAATACCTATTTCGAGGACAAATTTTACCAGTATCTGATTGATTGGTCTTATGATTTCTTTGTTAAATATAATTACAATTTTACAGCAGCTTATGAAAATGAATCTTCGAAAAGGGAGAGTTTTCTTCGCTGTTTACATCTTCCTTTTCTTATGACTCCATATGCGGGAATATTTCGTTGAGTGTTGCAAATCCTGAATTCGATTTAGCGGTTTTCCTACTGTCCGTTTTTGACCTATTTCCTGCTAGTGTTTTATTGATGAAAGTTCAATGAGAAATTCGCAAAAGAAAAAATATTTCTGACTCAGTTCCTGGTTGATTTCAGTAGATAAGCTGGCAATATGGTTTAAATAGTCTTAGGAAACATGACTTTGAATTCATGAATACCGGAGGGAAGCCCCCTCTGACTTCGGGTTCGTGCATGTTGGGACTCTTGAGCAAGATGTGTCTGAAATCTTGAACAAATTCAAATCCTCACTGAGATTCGAACTTTTGTCACGGAGTACTACAGTCAGAGACGTTACCAGTGAGGTGTTAGGTCTCACGATTGATCTCCTTTTAGTAGTGGTAATAGAGATACTTTGATTGGTCACTCTTTTTTTATTCCTTCACGTTCCCAGTGGAACATAGGGCTTTAGGCTAGAGGCTTGAAGTTTCTGTAGCAGAGTTTATTTTTACGAGATGAGGTTGCTGGCCTCATGCCCAGGCCAACGTTTCCTCTTTACCAGTCTTATTACTTTCTTAGCGAGGTAAAGGAGGAGTGCGTCGGCCGGGGATCGAACCCCGGACCATGTGCATAGTCGGCGAGCGTCCTAACCGCTGTCCCATCGACACTGTTGGTTACTAGGTAGTAGCAAAAGTCTAGTGCTTGGCGTTACTGCGAAGTGAACTCTACCAGTCAGATTTACAGTGCGATCAACTAGCTAGATGGCATGCCATCATGGTCCACTCTGAACCGATTTTAGATGGTAGGAGGTAGTCGACAGGAAGCAGGGGGCTTACGTGCTTGTTGGAACTCATATGCCATTCAGCCACTGTGACAGAATTCACTGATCTGTCACTTCTGAGTTCTGCCAATCACAGCCTTTCAAACCAGCCCTTAAAAATCAATCTCGAGTTCACTAGTAATTGACTGACTGACTACAGTATGTTGTTACCCCAAGTTGTGGTAGGAAGGCGTGGACGTCGGGGTCTACCGTGTTTGGTGTGAGGACAAATACTTTCCAAGTTGTGGTTGCGTTATATATCTCGAATCGACAGAGGTTAAAAGTGGTTGGTCGGTGGCTTAATGGTTAACGAGGTCGTCTTGTGACCTCAAGGTCGTGGGTCCTATCCCCGGTGAGACCACTGGTGAGTACTCCTGAAGAATTCCAAACAACTACGAAACAGCTGTCAAATAACTCTTGGTTTCCAGTGATGCACTTCAACCTTCGCCAAACCAAGGATTAGGGGCACGGCACCGTTCAGTACCTAGTGACCAATCAAAACATTATAATGATATACATATATCAAGAGATATATGTTATAATGAAATGAAATGAAGAGCATTTTGTAAATACGATGACAAGTTAGAAAAACACTACTTAAACCTAAGGTAATAGAAATCATAAGGAAGGTCATGAAATCATAAAATTTGAAAATGAACGTTTGTCAATGAAACAGAGAAATAGAAAAAGAAGAAAAGAAAATTGTGGTAGGAATTTATAGTGCTAATGTTTATGGAGGATTTGTTGGCTTTATTATAGGCCAAGGTAAACACAGAGGTTGAACATACTTCTTCTGTATACGAAGAGTTGGTCTTCTCATATTAATTGCAATCGCTTCAGCTACTGATAGAAGACGCAGTCGAGCTCCTCTAGATAAATTACTAGGAACGCGGTAAATAACTGAGAACGCCTGGTCAAGTTTTATCTGATGTCCAGTATCTACCAGGTGGGCTAAGACTGCACTATTTACACACTTGGTTACCCCTTTACTCAACCATACAGTTACATGTTCAGGCGCGTGCATGGATAAAGCCCTCTGAGTACGGCCTATGTAACTAGGTACAACACTTTGCATGCAGAAGAAGTGCGCTAAACCTCTATGTTTACCTTGGCCTATAATAAAGCCAAAAAATCCTCCATAAACATTAGCACTATAAATTCCTACCACAATTTTCTTTTCTTCTTTTTCTATTTCTCTGTTTCATTGACAAACGTTCATTTTCAAATTTTATGATTTCATGACCTTCCTTATGATTTCTATTACCTTAGGTTTAAGTAGTGTTTTTCTAACTTGTTATCGTATTTACAAAATGCTCTTCATTCCATTGCATTATACATTATGGGAATATTCAATTTACAGAAATGTAAATTACTTACGTCCTGGAAAAATTGACACATTTCTGTCCACTGTACTACTATTGCCATCTAAGTAGGCTTTTGTTTGACAATAATCCTTACACATGTACATTATACTTGATGTATGCAATGTAGCTGCTTTATTCTGATGTGTACTAAATGGTTTATCTAGTAAATTGCTGTGTAAGCCACTACTATTATATCCATGTTTATGAGTAGTATATTGTTTGAATGGATTATTAATTATCTGATGAATATCGGCGCCTTTATCATTTTCGTCTTCATCACATTTGAAATAATAACTGCCATACTTTCTGCTATCATCATAATTGTTACAGATATGACACTCGTGATCACATGTGTGAAAATTATTTGGCTGTGATACGTCAAGTGATGTGATTTGATTATATTGATCAGTTGTTAGTGGTATACATGAATCATGACTGATTCCATGATTGTGGTTCTGATGATGTTGATGCTGATGATGATACAGTCGTCCTCTCTTTTGATTGGTTAATCGACAACACTGAACAGAAATATGATTGGTTAAAGTATTTTGTTTAAATGTACACAGTTCTACTAGAATAAATAATGCTAAATACAAACTAAGCGTACTGATAAAGATTGTGAGTAGTAAATCTGTAAAAATAAAAAAAAGAAGGGAAAAATGGTTTTCAGATGACAACTGAGATGAATATTCATTCAAATTTATTCAATAAATTTCAATATCTTTACATCATGAGCTTCATAATAATAATGTCCTGGATGTGTGATGATAAGAATCTGTATGTGAATGTGTGTGTGCCATGTTGTTTGTTTGTGGTGATGATTTGAATTGTGGTGTTTTAATTGTATTTGGTTGGACGGAGTGAGCGATGATTGGGTGATTGTTGATGTTGTATATGTATGTGTGTGTTTTTGTTTGTGTGAATTGGGTTTATTATGTGAGTGTGTACGTGCTCCTCAATAGTATAGTGGTGAGTATCTCTGCCGGTCACGTGGAAGGCCTGGGTTTGATTCCCGGTTGAGTAGCTGGCTTTTACTTCAGCCGATCCATCCATCAATCAATCAAATGTGCTGTGCTGCACTCAGCATATATACTCTGCACGCATACATATCGCCAGCCGTCCGTAGACGATATACGCCACTCCTCACCCGCCTGTCTGCCTGTCTTCCTGCCCTCACCAATACCATCAATTCATCACACAGCATAGATAGTTCGCGGACCAATCACCGACTTACAGCTGACTGACTCATCCACTCACTCACTCCCTCCCTATGCATGTCCACATCGAGCTGAATGTATTCAGGACAGAATGTGGCATGCGCAATTTCTCCTACAATTTCAGGCGCCAGTTACGCTCCACGAATATTTCTCAATGTAATCTGTATACGGATAAGCCGAGAAACGCATGATGACACACACGTACACAGATAGATAGATCGATAGACAGACAGACAGTCGGGCGTATGGAAATAGGCGAACGAGGGCGCGCAGAAACCTACGAATCCAAACACCAGCACGCACTCAGTCAAGCGGAAACACCCAAAATTATAAATACAAGTTCACTGATACAAAATGAATCAGATAGCAGAGCGAAGCAGAACACAGTATTACACGGATGTTGGAAGAAATATCGGATGGACGAAGATTATGTTCTCCTCACCCAGCTAGCATTTTATTCGGGCGCACTGCAGAAAGTGAAACAGTCATCTGCAGTCTGCCCCAGAGTTTGCAGTGCGCAACAAGTCTATGCTAGCTGGGTCAGCACTGTGTCAACGAGCTGAGTGATACCTGATGAGGCGATGGAGTGAGGGAGGGAAGGAGATAGATACAGAGAGAGCCCTATAACCTTTAGGTCTCGAGTTCGAACCCTGATGGGTGCTTACTGTGAAGCGTCCCAAACTAAGTCGAAATGACTGTCCAGTACCTTCTACTGGTTTTCCAGTGATTCTTTAACGGATATCAGCTCATGATGAAATCCTGTGACATATCGAACATTCTGATCACCTGCCTGTTTGTTAAACATATTTGTATAAAATGTGATGGAGTATAAAAAGCCAAAATTAAATCAGAGTGGGTCAGTCACATTTTTCATTTTTAGGTCGAAATCACAGATATAAGATGAAAAATATACATTATTATGTAAGTTACCCTTGGCTGTAAAACTGGATCACTAAGAAAGATTTAGTGTAATCACAAATGTGCTTTTCAAACACAAAACAGGTTTAAAACTTTCAGCAAGTTACATCTAAACAAATTTGAGTATATGACCTAAAAGTTGAATTAATGAAAGTGTTTAGATCAACTTTATGAATCTGAACATTCGTAGTCAGGTGTAGATGCCTTTATGTCTCCCTGCAGCCACTTCTGAATGACCTTTGTAGTCATAACCTGTCGAGATCGATGACTTCTACTTATACTAACTTTTTTATTAATATATTCAAAATATTCAACAAGTATAACGCAGATATGTTATCCATTTCAGTAAACTACGTCTTCATATTGTTTTGTCAATATTCAAGAAGAAAACTAACTAGTCCCTTTAAATGTTTCAATTCTTAATAAATTACCCCGGTAAATTCAAATAAGGCGCCAAAATTCAATTTCAAGTTGTTGTAAACAATAACCACTTAAATAAACATAAAGTCTTATTTCAGTTGACTGAATTTCAATATTACGGAATAAAAAAGGAAAACAAAAGTGTTTTTTTTAATGACGAATTCACAAGTCAGTATTAAAATTAAGTCAAAATAAAGTTTAATAGAATTCACTGAAGAGGAAATGATGTATTATGCCAGTAAATACTTTCTACAGAACCCTAGAACTATAGGTTGGATAAAGTTTGGTGTCAGTTATTGTAGAGCTTGATAAATTAATGTTTATTTTGTTTGTGATAAATGTGTCAAATGTCTTAAGGGAATTAATTAAATATTGTTTTAACTGTTCAATTTTTCATAAATAAGCCGCTGATTCAAACTCCGCATAGCCGAATAAACTGTGAGCAGCCTTAACACCGTAGCTGACGAACAATAGAGATCAATCACTATCAATGAAAGAAATTTGATGAAAGTTGTCTCTTTTACTTATCTGGAAAGCATTCCCTTAAATAAAAGGGTCTTAAATGAATAGCAAGACAGTCAATATTGGAATCCATAGTGCTCAATACATGGAACTACATCCTGATTCCACCTAACACTGATGACATGTCAGTGTTTCTATTAAGTTAGCTGCTTCCCAACAGATACGCAGAAATTGACATGAACTGAATATAGAACGTGGGGACCTTCCAGTAACATCATACACCAGACTCTCAAGTCAAATCAAAATGCAAGGCTGGGGGTTAGGCATCCCAGGGTCTTATGAAGAAAATCACGTGACGAGGATAGAGCAGCTTGTGGATAGTCCTGAAGCCAAGTGAAAGTGATGGCGAAGAAGTGCGTGAAATGAGCATATATTAGGATCACAATTTCCACACACCTTCGGTATTGTGCTGCTTTATCTTCCTTTTATACTTTCCATGTCGTTTCACAAGGATCGTTCGTTAAACCCATCTCTCCGCTATTCAGCATTCTTGCGGCTGATTTACATATTTATATACTACTCATAAATCTTATCAGTAGTGAAAGCCATATTTATTTCGGCTACTTATTTTTTATCTGGGAAGGGAATGTTAGTGTAAACATAACAGTTTTTCAGGTGACTGTAGTATTGTATATACCAGTTATTTTCGACCTTCCTTATGTCATAAATTTGTAATACTTAAAAGAATTGTGATTTGGTATACACCCACAACAAATTAATAAACAACATCTCTGAAGACACTGAATTCACAAGAGAAGAAGAATTAGACGACAGCAAAATTCCACTTTTAAATGTCTTAATCATTAGAACTAACACAGGAAATTTAGAAACGCAAGGATATAGAAAATCAGCACCCACACACAGACCAAGTACTCATAATGCAGTACACAATGCAGCACTGATCCTGTGTTGAAGCGAATGGAAGAAAAATACCTGATAACGGTCTCCAAAAAGAATGGATATCCGCAAAATTTCATCAAAAAGTGTTTAAAATCGAGTCATAATACCAACAACAGGCCGACATCAAAGAAACCGCAAGAAAATTCATCCTTCCTTATACAAAGAATATCTCTGAAAAAACAGCTAGAATATTAAAACCGTTTGAAATAGATATAGCACACAAGCCAGCCAGCTAGCACAATCACTTCATTCAGTATTGTGCAAACCAAAAGATCCAACAGAATAAAGAAGATAAAATTAATACCATTTACAGACTAAACTGTATGAACTGCAATAAACATTACATCGGTCAAAGTTGGTGTCCCCCTCGAATCTGGATCCAAGAAAACACACTGAAAATACACAATATGTATTCCTGTTTCATATTGATGCATGTAGATGATTACAGGCACCAGTTTGCTTGGGAGGATGTAGAAATTGTAAATAGAGAAAACATCAAAAATAAAGTTAGAGAATTTCTAAAGGGTTGGTACTCAAAGGAAAAATAATTGATCTGTTACTCACTACCAACTAAACCTATTCAGGCAGTCGTGGGAAGTCGTGATCAGCAGGGTGCATCAGGTTGAAGGTGAGGACAGTAACTCATAGAAGACACTGCGAAGTGGTCGCGCTATGTCATGAAATAGCAGAGGTTAGAATTCATGGGTTGGCCATTGAATAAGGTCTTAGAGGCTTAAAGGTTTACGTGCTCTCTGGCCTTGTAACCAGAAGGTTCTGGGTTCGGACTCTGTTGGTGGGTGCGTACTTATGAAGAGTCCCAAACTAGTGGGACGAAACAGCTGGCTGTCCAGTACTCCCTGTTGGTTTCCCAACAGTTATCTAGCCGTTGTCAGCTAATGACGAAATCCTCCAACGAAATATCGACTAAAAAACACATTATTACAGACCAAATCTATCAGCTAATAAAAAGTAAATCACATGTGACAAGAAAGATGGAATTGCAAGTAAAAAAAAATGATCAGTAGAGATGTAAATTAGTAACCAGTTAGAACAACGGTTGTCAGGGCATACAAATGAATACCATTCATGGAAAATTTAAATATGTTTACTTCATACTGAAACCTGAGATACAGCGATGTTGTCTAGATGCTGGACGATGAAAGCTTCGCAATTAAATCAACCAGCTCCTCAGAGAATCCACCTAATTCAATATCTTCCTTACGTCATTCCATGAGGAGACAGGAGAGGGCACAGGTGAAACCATCTATATATCACTACCCTTGAAAAAGTAAATGAACCATATTTGTGCATACGGCTTACGAAAACAGACTTAACACCAAACTGAGAGACTTCAATAAACACAAGAAAGAAGACCGTGAAACTGACCAGGCATGTGGGACCTAAACAGCTAAGTGGCGAATTGTGTGACTGAATAAATCCCAGAGAAACGTAGAGTTCTGCTGATAGGTGGTAAACAAACAGAAAATCTAAGTCCAAATCTCACTGCTTACTGACACTCTCTAGTATCTAGTATCAAAATCATAGAGCATCACAGTGCTCAGAAACTCTGCATCACTTAGTTAAATAAATGATTGATAGATTTCAGTCAGCATATATGAAGTTGCATAAGTTGAGCTTTTCCTGAGCCTTCCTATGCCGTTTTTTATTCATATACGTTCCCAGTGGAACATAGGGTCTCAAGGGATAGCTTTTTGAAAATTCTGTAGCAGTGGTTCTTATTTAGACGGAATGGGGTTGCTAGCCTCATGTCCAACTTTGATTGGCGAGCATTCTACCACTGTGCCACCGATACACGCATTGTTAATTTTTTCTGTAGAGGATTATTTATGCTAAATGTTTTAAAAAGCTCTGAAAAACAAGCATTAGTACAGAGTAAGCACAACTCTACTGATTGTTTTCTCATAAGGACTGAACAGAACCGATATTTCTTTGGAATGATAAAATTCTACATTTTAGGAAGGAGAAAATAAACATCAGTATTTTGATGTAGTTGTGTTCTCTGAGCTGGATGGTTTAACTGTGAAGCTACCGTTGCCCCCTCCTAGACAACATCTTCAGCGCATACTTCAGCTTGAATTGAAGTTAGCTTTCAGATTTCTCCACGAGTTTATCAGTCATCTCTCCTAGTGACATGACCTCGAACGTCATGATTGGTTGTTTTTGTGTGTTTCCACACCCTCTAGGCTACTTGTATTGATTTTGGTGTTGGTTGTTTCTTTTGACCTGAAGTTTGAGCCTTTGTGTTTGAGATTTCTTTCTTATCGACTGGTGAAATTTATCTATGTCAATGTGTCTATTGATTGACGATTCACCGGAATACCAGGTTGGCTTCTAAGAATTCAGCAGCATTATTGGTGTTTCCTCAGTCTAATATTTGAACGTTGGTTATCTCAGTCGACTTGATATCCATAGTTGCCTGTATGTAGTGAGGTGATATCAGGGAGTGGATGTCATTACCTTTGACTGCTAGTTTAGATGACCATCTACAAAATAAATTGTAACAGCTGCGAATAATAGTACATTGGATAAAGTGGATGTCCCCTTCATTTTCTTATCCATGAACGTAAAATAGCCGTCAAAGGACATGATATCCACTCCCTGATATCACCTCACTACATACAGGCAACTATGGATATCAAGTCGACTGAGATAACCAACGTTCAAATATTAGACTGAGGAAACACCAATAATGCTGCGGAATTCTTAGAAGCCAACCTGGTATTCCGGTGAATCGTCAATCAATAGACACATTGACATAGATAAATTTCACCAGTCGATAAGAAAGAAATCTCAAACACAAAGGCTCAAACTTCAGGTCAAAAGAAACAACCAACACCAAAATCAATACAAGTAGCCTAGAGGGTGTGAAAACACACAAAGGAAACCAATCACGAGGTTCCAGATCAGGCCACCAGGAGAGATGACTAATAAACTCGTGAAGAAATCTAAAAGCTCACTTCAATTCAAATTGAAGTGTGCGCTGAAGATTTCGCCTAGTTGGGGTCTCAGAGAACACAACTGCATCGAAGTCGTCTACCTGAGCTACAAATGTTCTCCATCATATGTAAACATCAGTATTTCACTAAGATCATTGAAGATTTTCAGAAAATGGGATTCGAGGGGATTTAGATAGATTTCATTTGTTGCATTTCTTCATGAAATTACATAGATTTGAGCGATTATTGGAAACTGTACAACTTATTTGTCTTATCTGTGCAACTCTTCAACAGTGAGCAGCCACAACCATATCAGGGATTGAAATCAAAATCTTCAGGTGACGAGACCAAGCCACTTAAGCTAGAATCCCATGACTCATAAATTCTAAGTATGTCAATTAGGGGATATCAATTGCCAACTTATCGATGATTACTGGATGGATGGCCCGAAGCTGTATTGAAAAGTCGTAACAGGTGGTGTCCACCATTTCAGAGTAAAGTGGATGATCATCTGAGACACTGTTGAGGTTAACGCTGTGTCACGAACTGACAAAGTCAGAATTTATAGGCCATGGAATCCTAGCTAAAGTTTGCATTCCCCACCGATTGACTAGTGCGTCGGTGGCATAGTGGTTAGGACGCTCGCCGACCATGCACATGGTCCGGGGTTCGATCCCCGACCGACGCACTCCTTTACCTCGCTAAGCCAGAAATAACGCTGGTGAAGGGGAAAGGTTGGGCATGAGGCTAGCAACCCCATCCTGTAAAATAAGCACTGCTACAGAAACTTCAAGCCACTAGCTTGAAGCCCTATGTTCCACTGGGGAACGTGAAGGAAATAAAAAAAAACCGATTGACTATGTTGGATCGAAATGCTATGTGCCCATTGACATGTCAACCAAAGGGAAACGTAAACTGACCTCAAAACAAAAGAAAAGAAAATTATACCCATTACTCAAGAAGTGACCCTCATGGCACTAATCTCCTGATGGATAGTGATTTGGCATTTGAAACGATAGATGTGGTGTCTGAGTCTCACTGGAAACACGAAATTCTCACTCTGGATCCCAAAACAGGATATTTTTTGCCTATCATTTAAGTTTTAATAACCATTACATCGGAATAACTTACTTTTTAAGTAAATATTTGCATATAAGGTTGAAGTTTGATACAGTTGTGGGACCTCCCAACTCGTTAGTCGTACAGTCACACTGACCATGCTAAAAAAACGGAATAAGGGAAAAAGGTCAATAATTCTAGATTTGTCCGAAGCCTAAAATATATATTATATAATTCATTGTCAAGTGCTAATAAAACAAACGCGTCTTGAGTCTCATCCTGTTCACAGATAGTTGAATCGATCAATCAAGATTCTTGTAAACACGAAGTCATATAGGCAGAAGTCCTGAATTAGAGGGACTTCATCTTTTAAATCATATCAGTTATCCTCATTAGACAATTAACAAAATTATTTTACTATTAGTAATTTTAAAGCGTTTGAAAAAGAAGTCGAATTAAAAAGATACTCAGAAAATTAATGTCTGGTGGTATTACTATGAATATTCTCTTGGTTGGAACATAGGGCTTCAGGATCACGTCGCTATTCAGTCCGTTCCTGCCAGTAGTTTCTAGCTGAATTTAGGATTTACTGTAGACTTTCATGTGCTCTTCACATGACCTCCTCCATGTCGTCTTGAGACACGTACTCAACTCGTCATATATTTTTCATTGGGATTCCACTTGAGTCTCTGATGTGTGGTGTCCCTCAAAGGTCTCCTCAACGTATGTTCATTTCATCTCAGTTTTATTCAAGTATTGGTTTGTAGGGATTTGATTGATTGGTTACAGGATTTCTTCATGAGCTGACATTGGTGAGAGAACCATTGGAGAGACTGGGAGTACTGGACAGCTGTTTCGTCAGCTTAGTTTGGGACTATCCATCAGTACGCACCGGCCGGGTTCGAAGCCAGGTGAGCTCGTAGACAATTAAGTTACTGTCACCCGATACAATGGCCCATGATTTCCAACTTATGCCAATTCATGATATGGTGCGACCACTAGCCAATGTTTTCGGAGAGAATTTGTCCTCACACCCTGCCTGCTGCTGTCGAGTCCCAAACTTGGACGGAACAGAAGTCCAGTACTCCCAGGTTTTCCAATGATCCTCTGACCGATATCAGCTAATAATGGAATCCTGTGATCATCTCAGTCTCTTAATTTTGCACAATAGGTTTTCAGCTGGTTTTGCTAACAGTGGGACTTGTTGCTAGTGCTTTCTGCTCTACCGTTCTGTTCTTCATTGTCGAGTGAAGGCGACTTATGATGAAAATCTGCACTAGCCTGTTGTAAATGCTTTACACGACACAGTTTAAGCCTCTGGATGATAGAGAAACACTGAATTTGATAATACTGTTAGGTAAAATCTGGATTTTGTTCCCAGTGCTGAGATCTCTACACTGATTTGATATTAATGGTTGCATAACTTGCTTTCTCTATCGGTCTTGGTCGGCTCTGACATCCTCATTCATACTACCTGTACAGGTTAATAAGAGAGACCACTTCCTTTAGATTTCATCGATTACTGGTGTTTGGTGTACTTTGTTGTTAGATCAGTGTCTTCATCTCCACTGTGTTCTTTGGGTCCTGTCTTTGCTGATTCTTTTGCCAATTTGTTGATTTTGCGCTAGCAAATCTTCACGTTCGTGAAACATGAATCATAATTAACTAATGAAGTTTTTATCCTCTAGAATCTTTCTTTCAGTCCAACGTGTCCGTCCCTCACTTCTCACTATCCACTGTCTGCTATGTGATCAATTCCACCACAGTCAGGAATATCACCGGTGATAATAGGCAACCTTGTCTTACAAATGTCATCTCTTCGTGTGTCTCACTGAGGTTTCCGTTGTGAATCACTTGGTATATGTAACACTATCATACATGGCTTTTGTAAATGTTTTCAGCATTTTACCCCGTAATGTTGAAGTAACTTTCAAATTACTTCACGGTCGACGCTATCGGAGGTCTTTTCAGAGTCGATGAAATTACGGTAGAGATTAGCTATCATGTGTGTTTGAGCCTGTTCGTAGGAACATTGACATGTATACAAATGAAGGAAACTTCTTAGTCAAGAAATAATGGCGGCTTCGTGATTTGTCTGTTAGGTAACAAGCTCACAACGAAAACGATAGTATAAGACTAATTAGAGTGCCTATAGTAACGATTTCTAAAAGAATACTCCTAAGTATGCATCTACACTGTTACATTGTAACGACAGAAGACAAGGACCACCAACAGATATTTATAGATTTTTATGTGCATTATTATTCGTTATTGTTAACAGAGAAGCAACGTCTTCTGATTGGTTGTTTTCTTGCTGAAAGTTATTGTGTACTGCTTGTGACCGTTTCTTAAAAAGTCAGGCCATATTTCTGGGAATCGTATTTGCACAATATAAGTCTGCTGTGATTGGTTGGTAAGTTCCTCAAGGTTAGGCCTTGTTCTTGTTTTTTCTCATGACCCCCATTCTGGACGTAAACATCGACGTAAACTGATGTCTACAATTTTTTCTTGCAGACAGCTCTCCCCACAACATTGGTGAGCATTATTACAGTCAACTGATAAGATAGATTAGTTTAAAACCTCTTGATATAAGTATAAAACTTGGGCACTGTGGTAGAGTGTAACACCATTATGGATAAGATTTTATTTTGATAAATCACACAGTGTTACACAGTAATATTAACTGATGACGTTTCGAGCACAAATTATTGCCACTCATAATCATATCAAGGCACTACTCACACAACTTTCTTGCTTCATTTATATACATGTGTGGAATTGATTAGATATGTGAATAAAAATCAGAAATAATAACGCGAGTGTTGTTGATCAATTACAATCAGAGGGGAAATAAGACGAATGTTTTTATTGTCATGATAAGTAACTTGTTAGAATGTTGTGATGTGCTTGAATTGAAAAAGAATTATCAAAATAAAATCTTATCCATAAGGGAGTTAAGACCTCTTGTTTTCTAAAGTATCAGGGAAATAACAGTATGTACTACTGATTCATATAAGTAGATAGAAACCTCGGAGGTGACTCTAAGCTATAGCAGCCCGAACCGAAAGTACCTAGCGAACAGACAAATGAATTTGACAACGACAACTTTGACCAATCAGAAGCCTTTATAGAAACGGCGCATACTTTTAATAAAACGCTCATATAGAAGTAATGCAATGTTAAAAATCAGTTTTAAAGGATAACGTTGTCGTATATGTTCCAAAAAACCTCCCAATTTACTCATAGGAGTCTTCGTAGTTATGTTAAACCAAGTCCTGTAGATAAACTCATCGAGATAACTGTTTTTCATTGCATTTCTTGATCCATACACAGATCTGATCCTTTTTTTGAGATGACTGCAAAAACTTTCGATGGAATTAGTGTGAGTTCCATCGAAAGGATTGATGAAATCACTTGTATGGTTGACGACGTGATGAATATAGATAGCCTAAGGTTGATAGCTGACTAAAACTACTCCATTCATCTGTATGAATAGTTGTTCCAGGCAGCACTAAGCTCTACATAATAAGCAATAAGACATCTGCACTGCGATTAAAGATTGCCTCAATGTATCCTTTGTGGAGGGTGGTGTCATATATCCCCAACACCCACTGCTGTTTCGCACTCAATCTCCCTCGATTATATCTTCTTTTTATCAACACTGCCTCATCCACATGGACAATGACGCCAACTCCACCAAGTACTTGAGTCAGCCTGTTCATTTTCCATGATGTTATGTCTCTGCAGTACTGGTACCATTACACTGCAGACACTTCTGAATTTTCTGATCCATACGCTGTTGTTGTTTCTGGTCTTTTAAGCACCCAGATATGACACATCATTAATATTTTCGTTAGAGGTAATTTAGACTTGGCGAAAAAAATTACCCACGGAATCTGTAAACTTAAAAAGAACGGCATACCTTCTTGAACTGACTTTCTGGTTTGGCACTCATCGCACATTTCACACTTTTTTGACCTTCCTATCAGTTTGTTCTCCAAACAGTAATCAAAAACAAGATCTGGAGCGAATTTGCAACACAAAAGATGTACAGTATCCATAATGCGGAGTCACTTGATTGGTTGCTGAAGGTCATTTATCTGTTCACTTGGTAGTTTCGGTTTGGGATGCTACAGTTTAGAGTCACCACCACGGGGGTTAAGCAGAAGTGCTTGTTAACGACCTTAAATTGATTTAAAAAATAGGCTGATTGATTTGCACACTTGATGTTCATGTCAGATAAGTTTATTTATTACAACACACGGTGACGTGATATGGATAATGAGCAATAAAATGCACTCTAAACGTCGTGCAGTTACTAATACTGTGTCATTGTGTGTTATATCAACTGATTTTCTTTTAGAACTGGGCAATTCACAAGTGGGGAATTTGATTTTAAGGAAATATATTTGGAATAAAGATGATGAATGACTTTAGTTAAAGAGCCCCTGGAAAGTAGGCAGTACTATACAGCTGTTTCGTGCTCACCTAGGTCTCCTCGGCAGGATGCATCCACCGAACTAAGGACTATCAGATGACAAAGGTGGACTCATCGACCATCAAACCACTCAAAAGGAATCTAACGGCCCATGAATTCTAACTTTTGCCATTTCGATATTTATGTGACGTGACCGCCACCCAGCTGTAGGCTGTTGACGACAAGCCAACAAAAATAGACAATAGTATAGTCGAATACTTCAAAAAAACTGTTTTTTTTCTTTAAAGGACCGAATAACTAGATTTTAGAGTGAAAACTAAGTTTTATTCACCGGGCCTCACTATACTGCCAAAGTTGCAGTCATATCTTCTAGTCTGACTTTATACCGCTTAAATTCTTTCCATACTTGGATAAAGCTTCAGCTGGAATAATTTATTCACACTGAAGTGATTCTACAAATACTAGCCGTCAGTATATATTATTATAATATTATTATTGTTTCCTTTAGTTCCTAGAGGAACATTGGGCTTCGGCCATATGTCTCTAATTCGTTCGGTTTTCCACCAACGTTTTCACCTGGCTCTAAATCTGCTCACATGCTTTCATCTCCTCTTCGCATCGCCTCCTCTATGTCTCCTTCGAACTGACGACCAACTAACTCACCGCTTCCCGTTCGGGTTACACTCGAGCAATAGATGTCACTTGATGATGGTTTGTTTCCTCAGAGTATGGCCAATCCAATACACCTCCATTTCTTCCTGCACGATCGGTTACTGTTGGGTTGCTTCGCTCCCAGAGATCCTTGTTGCTGATCTTTTCTGGCCGGCCATCTGATCTTGAGTATTCAGCGAAGACAGCTGTTAATGAAGGTCTGTAGTTTGTTTGATGTGGCCTTCGTGACGTGGCGCCAAGTCTCTGATCCGTATAGTAGCACTGACTTCACATTGGAGTTGAAAATCCAGCTCTTATTTTCATTTTCATGCTGAGTGTTGTTGATCTCCACGCACAGACTTGATAGTAATGAAAGCTTGTCTTGCTTTCCCCATGATCCCCGCTTTGATATCATCATCATCATCCGCTTGTAGTTGAAATGATGCTTCCCTAATAGGTAGGTAGATGAAGGAGGTTGCTTCTTTCAGCGTATATTAGACAGACAACTGTAATTAATAAGTTCACTGAAAGGCTAAATTCCTGCACATCATTTAAAACAATAACATTGATAAACATAATCTCACCTGGATGTAGATAATTCTGTATAAGGATAAGATGATCTTGGGAATATTAATCGAGCTAAATGATTATCTCTGATCAAATTATGTAATTCATTATTCACATGATCCAGGCGAGCTAATGCAGCACTGGCTGCTTCACCACTTTTATCGATCTGTACTTCATGATACATAATCAGATGACTACAATTGTTTGTTGCTGATGTTGGTGTGTCTAATTGTGATGCTTCAGATATTGAGTCAAAAGAAGATGTAGACATCGGAGATGGTGATGCAGATGAGGATGCTAGGAGGAATGAGGTATTCCTTTGATAAATTGGAGTCGTTCCACTTAGTTCTGACAGAAGATAACGAAATTTCATCATCTGATTTAATAAAACAAAGAAGAGAATGATACAAAGAAAAATGGTTAAAGAAAAAGGGATTTTATAAAACAGGACAGGATAATACTACTTGTTAGTAGCTTGAGAATAAATAGTAATATTTAGAATAGAGGTTAGGGCAGGGATTATCCGGGAGCTCTCTAAATGATGTTAGTTTGTGATGATATCTATGATTATTATTACTATTTCCTTGAGTTGCGAGTTGGATATAAGGCCTCAACAATACATTTCCACTTTCTTCTATCTTCTTCTGTCCTATTAATCTGGCTAGCCACATGGTTGACCATAATCTCTCATCTCCCCTTTCCCCGGGCCACAAGAACTCCTCTATGTCTCCCCAGGATCAACGCCAAACTTGTCGCTTCCCACTGGGATTCCACTCGAGCGATGGCCTGCACTGCGTGCTATATCACTTGACGGCCTCTTCAGTGGCTGTGCCCGGTGCATCTTCATTTTCTCCTACATATTTTTTGAGCAATCGGCTCTTGTTTGGTTTATTGCCAGCCAGAATTTCTGGTTGTTAATTCTTTCTGGCTGGTCAGCTGGGCATTCGATCTTAAGTATGGAACCAACCAACGAGGGGGCAGATTTAGATAAACGTCTGCTCTAGCCTGTTGGAAATCCTTTTCGTGACGTGTGCGCAGTGCAATTTTCCGACTCATATAGAAGAAATGACTGACTTCACATTTGTGTTGAAAAGAACCCGAATCTTGTTCTTCAAGCTGGCTGAGTCAGTGCAGAAGATTTACAAACTGCTTACACCATGATGGAGGCGTAACCTCTGTTAAATCTTTCCCGTTGACGGCGATTGATGCTGGTGTTGTTGTTGATGATTCTATTGGTTGTTTATCTTCATCACCTCTGTGTTCTCCATGTTTAAAGCGAGTCCTATCTTCGCTGTCTGCCAGCCTCATCTTCCAGTTTGTTGGTTTTCGCCTGCAGGTCTTCCACTTTGTGTGACATGAGACATAAATCATCCACGAGCGAAATCCAGATCTTGTAGAGTCTTCTAATCGTTCCATCGTATTCCCGCCTTCTCTCTCCTCAAATACGGCAAGCTGCATAATCCAGTCCACCACAATTAAGCATATCATCGTTGGGGATAATAGGCAGGCAACCTTGCCTTACTTCTGTATTCACTTCCAAAGCTTCGCTACGTTTTCCGTGGTGGATCACTTGGCACACGCTATTGTCACATAACTGTAGAATGAGGTTTATGAAGATTTAGAGAGCGCCATAGTGTTGAAGTATCTTCCAAAATTCTTCAGGTTCAACAGTGCTGAAGGCCCTTTTGAAATCGACGAAGTTGAGGTAGAGGGAGATTTGAACGGCATTCTATGCTTTGTATTGTGATGAAGATGCGTAGAGTGTAACGAAATCTACAATGGAATTGTTGCGAATCTCTACATAAACTCATAGTATAAATGTCAGTCTCCAGTGATTTGATGTCTGCTGGATGGATATCTTTAAGTCCTGCTACAAAGTCGCGGCCACTGTGGTCTAACGCGTCATCAAGAAGTCGACTGATTGAGTGTAATGCTATATAACAAAATAATAAAGTTAGAATTTTCTATAGTTTGGTTTGTAAGGATTAGTTATGTTTTACGAGTTGATCGCGGACTGATATCAGTTAGAAAACCATTAAAAACCAGGGAGTACTGGACAGCTGCTGTTTCATCCTAGTTTGGGAATCATCGGCAGTACGCACCCACTGGGATTCGAACCCAGGACCTTCCGATTACAAGGCAAGCTCGTATAACATTTAGCCACTGGGACCCGATTCACTGGCCAGCCCATGAATTCTAACTTATACCAATTCGTGATTTTAGCGCGACCCCAACTATTGTCGTTGGTGGGAATAATTCTGATGCTCACTAGTGACTTGCTACAGGTTGGAGCTTCCTGCAGTTCTAGTGAGAAGTCGTGACCAGTGAGGTCCAATTAGAAGTCACGTGTGTGAATGGATTTCCCACCAACGACAATAGTTGGGGTCGCGCTAAAATCACGAATTGGTATAAGTTAGAATTCATGGGCTGGCCAGTGAATCGGGTCCCAGTGGCTAAATGTTATACGAGCTTGCCTTGTAATCGGAAGGTCCTGGGTTCGAATCCCAGTGGGTGCGTACTGCCGATGATTCCCAAACTAGGATGAAACAGCAACTGTCCAGTACTCCCTGGTTTTCAATGGTTCTCTAACTGATATCAGTCCGTGATCAACTCGTAAAAGTTAGAATTTTCAAGTATTGGTTTGGTAGGGATTTTGTTTAATTGTATGGAGGTTTCATCATGAGGTGACATCGGTTAGAGAACCACTGGAAAACCTGGGAGTACTGGACAGCTGTTTCGTCCTAGTTTGGGACTCTTCAGCAGTACGCGCCCACCGGGATTCGAACCCAGGACCTTCTGGTTACAAGGCGAGCTCGTAGACCATTGAGCCACTGGGACCCGATCCAATGGTCCTTGAATTCTAACTTCTGCCAATTCACGACATAGCGCGACCATTTCGCAATGTCTTCTTAGATGAGTTACTGTCACATCTTCAACCTGCTGTACCCTACTGGTCACGGCTTCCCACTAGAACCCCAGGTTAACTGCCTGAATAGGGCCAGTCACTAGTGAGCATCAGATTAATTTTCAAGTATTGGTTTGGTAGGGATTTTGTTTAATTGTATGGAGGTTTCATCATGAGGTGACATCGGTTAGAGAACCACTGGAAAACCTGGGAGTACTGGACAGCTGTTTCGTCCTAGTTTGGGACTAGGAACTAGGACGAAACAGCTGTCCAGTACTCCCAGGTTTTCCAGTGGTTCTCTAACCGATGTCACCTCATGATGAAATCCTCCATACAATTAAAGTTAGAATTCATGAGTCAATAAATTTCTGCACAGTTGGCTGAATAGTCAAAAAGTTTGGTCTCACCACCTAAATGTCTCGATTTCGATTTTTTGTAGGGTATTGGATGTCCACTGTTGATGAGTCTCAAGACACTGGAGCAAAACATCTATCTAGGGCTCCAGGACAACCAATGATCTCTTAACTGATTTTCCTTCATGATGAGATCCACACTGAAATAAAAATTAAACTGTCTAGTATAGTTTTATTCAAATAAAATCGTGGATTGTCTCTCAAGTTTAATCCTCATTCATCATTTTATTTATACCGACAATCAGATGTAGACATTTATTCAAAATTCGCGCAATTATAAATTTGACAATATCTTTGAATCTTTTGGTAGGCAATGCTATCTTTTTTCAATTCTGTAGAATAATCAGTTTGAATATTAAATTTAATTGAAAACAATTTGACAAGCTTGTTTGTACTTTTGTGCTTGTTGTAAGCGTTTTTTTAAATTCGGGTTAGTAGTCAAAATGATGAGTTGTCTTGATTTTCGCATGGTAAGGAATTCGATGTATATGCATGATAGGAGAAAAGTAATGACCATTAGCTTCTTTCTCCTATTCCTTACTCTGTGACTGGAATACTAGGCTTTGCTCTTTGAAGTTCCAGTAGCAATAGTGTCATTATTTTACGGGATACGCTTGTGTTATGTTTGCACTGCTAATCGGTAATGAGCTTGACTGGTACGCTAATACGCCTATATATTTACTGGGAGAATGACACTTGATATTTATACATTTTTAACACAATAAAGTTGGCTAATAGCCATGAGAAATGATTGATCGCACAAGTCACACTCTGCGTGAGAAAGGGTGATATACTATATTTTGTGGGAACCTATCAGGTTGCTAACCTCGTGCTCAACCTTTCTTATTTTCCAAACATTTTATGAGTTAGAAGTTAACTGGTAGATGGTGGCTAGCAGTGGAATCCAGGATAACGCGCATTTCGTCCCATTTGGGACTCGTCATCTACTGGATTTGCCTTCATTCCTCAGTGAGTGATGATGTTCCCAGTCGAAGCGTCTGCACGAGAAGCCGACATGTCAACCTGAGCACTTCGGCTTCCAATCAATCGACGGGAAAATCTAAAATTGAATCAAATTATATGAGTTAGTCTAATGGATGAGATTTAGGGATGAACCAGCCAGGAATCGAGCCCTACATCATGTATGTGTTTGACGAGCATTCTACCAGTAAACCACGAGTTTAGAGAATACAGTCACATCGTGAAAAAATGCATCTTGGCTACAAATCCTCCGCCATTGTTCTGTGATTCAAGTCATGTTAAAGTAGCAGGCTCTATCGAAGACTCTACACTTAAATAAGCCGAAATTGTTGAACACGACAAAGTTGGAGCGCACAAGTGAAAAGCTTTTAAACTTTTGTTTACTCATCATAAAAACATTCTGCCTTCCTAAAGTCATAAAATGTCACGAAAACACGAATTCGGTTTTCATTCAAAGTCTCTATTACCTCGAAAACTCAGTTTTGTTTTCCTTTTTGTTTGCTGGCAAACATCATCACAGCTGGAAGAAGATTACGTCATATTGGATAGAACGGTGACTACTGTAAGCAAGATGAATGCTGTGCCTTTCATCCAAGTAACTGTCATCGTTCTTGATAGATATTTTTTCAACACGTCCAAACAATTCGCTAAGATCATCGTGTCGAGTACTAAACATCTGGTTTATACACCACTTTCTCTGTGTGTCTTCTCTCAGGATAAATTAAAAATTATTTTCAAGTATTGGTTTTGTAGGGATTGTTTTGTTAGATTGGTTGGAGGATTTCATCATGAGCTGACATCAGTTAGAGAACCATTAGAAAACCACCTGGGAGCCCTGGACAGCTGTTTCGTCCTGGTGCTCACTAGCGACTGGCCCTATTCAGGCACTTACCTGGGTGTTCTAGTGGGAAGCCGTGACCAGTAGGGTACAGCAGGTTGAAGGTGAGGACAGTAATTCATCGAAGAAGACATTGAGAAGTGGTCGCGCTATGTTATGAACTGGCAGAAGTTAGGATTCACATGCGCTGGCCATTGGATAGGGTCACAGTGGCTTAATGGTCTACGAGCTTGCTGGTCTTGTAACCAGAAGTTCCTGGGTTTGTACTCTCTGTGGTGGGTGCGTACAGATAAAGAGTCCCAAACTAGGATGAAACAGCTGTCCAATTCTCCTAGCTGGTTTTCCAATGGTTCTCTAACTGATATCAATCCGTGGTCAAACTCGTAAAACACTAGCAAGCCTTTTCCTCTTCTTGCACTTTTCCCCAGAGGTCGTGCTGTAAATCCAAACAAGTGAAGGCTACTTGATCAAAATTTTAAGATGCTTTCCTGACGGTTGTCCAAGACTTCATTGTTTATCTACTAAAATTCGAACCTGGTACATTACAGGTGTCAGCATGTACACTAAACAAAATTTCATAGCTTGTGTAAGAACTGGGATAATGCCAGAACTTTCAGACCGAAAAATGTGGTCGTCTAAACAGATCACCCCTCCCTGATCTAAAAATGAGTGGATCGGCGTCAGGAGCTTCGTTTCCATGGTTTCCGGTGTCCAAAATAGCTTCACACAAGATTCGTTCAGTTCAGATTCTAAAGCTAATGTATGCCATAGGTTTGGAATTAGGATTTTCCAGATATCCCTGGGTAGACCAGGATATAATAATAATAATGGCTTTATTCCAAACAGTATTTGTGGTACAGGTATGGAATTTTCAGCGTTCATTACAATATTGCATCTGATTACCTCATAAATTATATAAGGATTTAGAAATATAAAGCAACAACAACAAAAAGAAAAAGAGAAATAAAAGAAATAAAAATAGAACATCATTGCATTCACATATTTAAACAATGCACCACAGGATATGATATATAAAATTAGTCTGTAATAGAATATATGAGCAGCAATATAATAGTAACAAAGAAAGGAGAACAAAAGTTAATGGGGACTATTTGTTAGAGTGCCGCAGTAAATTGATCATGTCATGCCTAACAGTTTTCTCATCACATAACAGCTGTGCCAGGTAAGGAATTGTGGAGTTTTTATACTTGGTAGTCCTGGCATATAGCTTCCTATAGTTGCTTCTAGTTCTACCAGATGAAATGCAAGGAGAGAGCTGCGTATGGAGAGGGTGTTCGGGGTCTGACAATATAGAATTTGCTAGTTTCTTACATGACATTATATGTCTATCCACAATTGTGTTAACCAGTTGGTTTAACGAAATCCCACTTGCCCTACTAACAGCTTTTAGTGCCCTATGCAGCGAAGCAAAGTCTTTCTTAAGTAGTCCAGGAGAGATTAATGGGGAGCAGTAAAGAGGGATGGGTAGAACACAGGAATTGACAAACTGAGAAAGCAAAGACTGCTTTATACCAGACTGCCTAAATTTCCTAAGGTAGAACGTTAAGCGAAACATCTTTCTAGTCACTAGCAAGATGTGAGAGGACCAGGAAAGATCGGAGGAAATACTCAGTCCAAGGTACTTGACATTTGATGTAGTTTCAACCTCTATGCCGTCAATGATAGTGGGACCATGTGAGCTAGCTAGTTGTTGAAGGTCACTTTTTCGTCTGAAAGTAAAATTTACTACCTGACATTTAGACGGATTCAGCTTAAGACCGTTTGAAGAGGACCACTGACTAATTTCCGAGAGAAAGTTATTTAATATGGAACAGTCTGACTGAGAGTTGACGGGCATGGAGACAGAGAGGTCATCAGCATACTTGACAAAACTTGCTACATCAGAATGGGGCAAGTCATGTAAGAAAAAAGAAAACAGAAAAGGAGAAAGAACAGCACCTTGAGGAACACCAGCTAAAGTAAGTGAGGTAGTGGAGGACTTTCCATTGTAGACAGTGCTTTGGTTTTAAACACCAGAGGTTTGCATTCTCCCTTTTACTCTTATGAAAACCTTCTTGAACGACTTATTTAATTGAATTTTAGATTTTCTCGTCGATTGATTGGACCCCGAAGTGCTCGGTTTCAGGTTGACATGTCGGCTTCTTGTGCAGATGCTTCGATGATGTCTGCTGGGCATGTAATTAAAATTTAATTGGTGGATGGTGACTAGCAGTGGAATCTAGGTGGAAACATCATCACTCACTGGGAAATGCAGGTACATCCAGATGACGAGTCCCAAATTGGACGAACGCGCTTCCTGAACGACTCAAAGACATTTTCATACTAAGTGCCTTCAGGAAGAAAAGCCATTATAATAATATGTATATATCAATTCATATAAACGTCAACTTACCACAGTAAGTATTTTACGTAATAAAGTAGAACTTGGTGATACAATCACTTTCGTTTCAAAAAAGCTATTTATCAAGTGTAATTCAATACTGTCTAATGTTTGATTGTTTCCGCCATCTTGATCTTCATCATCATCAGTAATGAATAAGGCATTTTTTGACGACAATAAATCTTTACCAGCTGATGTTAGTAAATGGTACACTTGTCTATAACAGCTGACAATATTCTGATTGTGTGGCAGTTTCATTTGATTCGATTCTCTGCTGAAATGTTCCAAATGTTTGTACATTTTCCAGACATATTCTGAAGCGAATTGAGCTAATCTCCTGGCCATGTATAATTCTTTTGATAACTCTTTGATAAGATTGTAGGCTGTATGATTGTAGATTTGTAGAAATGCTTTCTGTTGATATAGAACACCTAAGTGGACCTAAATCATGGGGAATAATAAAGCTGAACAGTAGTAGTAGTGATTTTTATTCCAGAAGGATATTTGATACAGAATTCCCGACATTTAGCACAATACTGGAAAAGATTTGTAGCTCAGGTGGATGATTTTGATGTGGTTGTGTTCTCTGAACTGGATAGTTAATTTGCGAAGCTTTCATTGCCCTACTTACTAGGCAACATGTTCAGCGCATACTTCAATTTGAATTAAAGTGAGCTTCTAGATTTCTCCACGAGTTTATTAGTCATCCCTCCCAGTGGGTGACCTTGCATGTGAGGAGAGATGACTAATAAACTCGTGGAGGGATCTAAAAGATCACTTCATTTCAAATTGAAGTGTATGCGCTGAAGATGTTGCCTAGTAGGGGGCAATGAAAGCTTCATAAATAAACTATCCAGTTCAGAGAACACCACCACATCAAAATATTCTCTTTAGATTATGCTGTGAGAGGAAACATAATTAACAGAACCACTGACATAAGTTGAGGGTACCGTTAAGAGCAGTACTCGATATATGCAAAATTCACCTTAACATGGCTCTAGCTAGATGGTAAGTAAATATTCTCAAACTTTTGTATAAGCAGTTAGTGAAACATAGCACTTCAAAGATGTATTTGAATTCGTAGACAAAATCAAAGATATTAATATCAAGGATAAAACTATGATATCTTTGGATATAACATCTTTATTCATAAATGTACCTCTAGTAGAAACGGTTAACTACATATGTGAACAAGTGTATAACCAGTCGATAAATATTGTTTTGCCAACGGAAATCCTAAAAGAATTTTTGTTAAGGTGTATCATAAATGTAAATTTCAAATTTGATGGCACAACTCATAGACAGGTGAACGGTGTGGCGATGGGCCCCCCATTGAGCCCTTTGAACAATATTAGCAAAAAATTCTCATTTTACTACCGATGTATGGACGACACTTTCATTCTTTGTGATAATGATTTGGATAGGAACACAATAATAACTCATTTCAGTGGAGTACTTTATGTTATGAAATTCACGTGCGACGAGGAATCCCAAAATTGAGTTAATTACCTTCCTAGATGTCCGTCATCATTACAACAAAACCAGATGTTATTATAAAGAGAAATTTGCATAGGAAAAGCGCACACATTTTCAAAGCTTCGTTCCTCTCCAGCACAAAAGGAATTTAGTAAGCACCCTCAGTCACAGGGTTACAGCTATATGTTCAGAAGAGGTAACTGAAGATGAAATAAGAATTGTATATGATACCTTGATTGAAAATAACAATCCAGAAAAGTTCACCAAGAAACACATGACCACGAAAGCAGAAAACGACTATCCTCCATCTCTAAATTTGAAGCCTATATATATACGACTGCGATTCAAGGGTAACGCATCTAGTGAAATAATTACTAACAAGTTAGGAAAATCTATTCAAACGACTTTTATTGCTAGTAGACTACAAGTCATGTTTTCTACACGACCAATGGTGACTCCTCGATTGAATAATGAAGTACCTAGACTAGCTAGACACTTCAAATTATATCTACCAATTCAACTGCGCTTGTGGTGGAGCGAGTTATATAGGCCGTTGCTCTAGCAACTTGATTTTTCGCGCTTCCTCGGGAACATTTATACCAGTGTAGCTAAATAAAGCTGTAGTAGAAACCACCAACAGTTTGATACTAGACCACCTAGTCCAAACCGACCACCAACAAAACCAGCATTGACGAAGCCTTCTCCATCATCTAACCATTACCGAATAAACTGGCAAAAACATCCAGGTACCGCATATTCCAAACAGCAGAGGCTATCACGATCCTCCTGAAGCAACCGATGCTTTGTGTTCAGAAGAAACAAGTTTGGCCAGTCACTTCTACTGTCCTCTTTTGAAAAATAATTTAAATCGCAGTTTTAATCATTTGGAAACATTAACTAAAATTTAAATGGAAAATTGAAATTATATAGGAATATTGAAAAGTTGTACTGTAACGGCAGAGGGCGAGAGACTTGGTGACGAACATCTTTTTTTGAGAAAAATCACACCATATTTCTACATTTCTAGCCACATTTATGATTAGCTAGGTCAGCAGATAATAAACTCTCTTGATAGGTTGTTGATAACCTGAAGGTTAAACCTTGAGATGAAGAGTTGTTCTGATTGGTGCAATCAAAAGTCAATCGATACCTTTCACATATTAGTCGTGATTGTGTATAGCAATTTACTTGTATCTACCGGAGTTGTTACATTGGGAGAACAGTAAGAATGGCACATCCTTGATTTTCTGAACATGCACCGAAAACTCTACGTCTAAAAGGAACAAATGCTTTCAACAGTATCATTGAGAGGAATCGCCTTGATAATATTTTAATCATGCAATTATATCATATAACCACTACATGAACTCATGCGCATATTTAATCATCTGTGCAATTCTTGATTGGGCACTAGTCAGTAATTAATGTAATGTATCTAGTCCTATATTTTATGCAGACTGAATTCTATCAGTCAAGTTTACAATGTAATCAACATTCTGGGTGGCTCACCACCAAGGTTAACTGTGAACTGTTGGTATTAGATGATTGAGGGAAATCAGCAGAAAGCCCTGCTGGGACCCAGGTTTCGCACTAGGCGGCACTTGTCAGCAAATCAGTCTGCACCAAAGATAGGACTAGATGCATCAAACTAGTAACTAACTAGTGTCCAATCAAAGTATCCAATACAGGAGGTCGCTCGCGAGGTCGAATAACTCAGTAGTGGTAAAGTCTCTGAATGTAGGACTAGTTGATGTGGATTCGAATCTCAGAAGGAAGATGAATTCGTTAAGGATTGAAGATACACTCTATTATGGATAAGATTTTATTCTGATAAATTCGTCTCATCTGTTAACTGTTAAGGCAGGCTTAATTAAGTGTCTAACAAACCAAGCAGTAGCGCTAAGTAGTACAAGAAAAGACGTAAACAGAGAGAAGAAGCGTTGGTGTTGAATAACTAACTGTCCTATAAAATTCGTTAGTAAGATCAGAAAAGGCCAAAAGCAAATTAAAAATAATTGTGAAACTAGTAATGATAAAATAAGTAAGACAGAATATAAGTCATCTACTGTTATACCTTCTAAGGAGGGGACATCTGAAACCCTCCCTACGTAGGATTCTCAATAAAGCAAGAATTAGAGTGGTATTTAAACCTACAAACTCACTCATGTAGGACAAGCTTTGTAGGTTAAAAGACCCGGTGGACCCAATTAAACAAAATAATATAATTTACAAAATACCCTGCAATGAACCACATAGGTCAAACTAGTAGGTCGGGGCTAGTCAGATTATCGGAACATAAGAATTTAGCTAAGGTATTTATTTTTATTTTTTTAATCTTTAATTTTTATTACAGCCTGATGTCACACCGTATTTTCAGTACAAGTATGGAATTTTCAGCATGGATATCGGTAGCCCAAATTCAGGCCGACCATAGATATCGGGTGTGCGTCGGCAGCGGATCGAACCTCGGACCATATGCATGGTCGGCGAGAGTCCTAACCACTGTGGTTGACCCCGAGAAGACACGTAATTTAGAAAAAAACTCAGGAAGTGCACTTCACGCATCAACACACAATAGGGTGGGAGAGGGTTAAAATTCTAAGAAGTAATATAGGTAGGTGGAGGAAGAGAGAGATTGATTACTGAATCCTGCTTGGTTCATCGAGTCTACACCCAACACAACACATGCAACAGAAATGACTCAATGCAAATACCAGAGATATGGAAGATATTATTACCACCAGTCAGTTAGTCAAATCAGGGGAGGATAAGAAATAATGTTAAAATTCTATTTCAATTCAAGCACATCACAACATTCTAACAAGTTACTTATTATGACTATAAAATCACTCGTCTTATCAATAACACTCATATTAATAATTCTGAATGTAAAATATCCCATACTGATTTTTATTCCAATATCTAGTCGACTCCACACATGTATATAAATTTAGGAAAAAAGTTGTTTGAGTAACTTGATATGATTATGAACAATAGTTTGTGCTCAAAACGTGGTCATCGGTAAATATTACTGTACAGTATAACACTGTGTGATTTATCAAAATAAAATCTTATTCATAATGGAGTTTTACTCTACCACAGTGCCCAACTTTTATACTTATATCGATTGAATATATACCTTTATGGCTGACTGGCGAGTGCCAACAATCACGAAACCTATGTCCCAGCAGGGATTCCTGCTGACTGTCTCCAACCATCTAATACCAACAATTTAAAGTGCAATTCTAGAAAGAAATGAAGAAAAAACTCACAGAATTGGTTGTCTTCTCATAAACAGCAACACTAACGTCACATGATGCACTTTAGATTATAACTTTATTAGTAAATTCTGTTCAAAAAGGGAATATTTCGCACACGCTGAAAATGTAATATATGTTCACAGGTTGCCTAAAGGAAAAGCCTTACTTTTACTGTGTCATGTAACAGTATTACATTAAAGAAATCCTTGCAGGTAGAATTTTTATTTTTGTTTCCTTTTGAAGAATGTCAAATTCAATTATTTCAGCTGTAAAGAAAAGTACACTCATAACACAAGTTGTATTATATGCGTTATATATTCCATAATAAAATCGATACTTGTCCGACTATTATCAAAGGAAGATAAAAATTTTCGGTACATTTCTTATTGGTAGTGTTACATTATTGTCTATTACATTGAGAAATTACCTTTTAAACGTTATGTACATATATTTTATTTTAATAGAAGGTAGGTGTTTTAGCAATAGGATTACTTAACTTTGTAAAATTTTTAAAATGACTAGCTTTATGGCTTAGCCAATCACCATCAACGGGAGGGATTTGAAAGAGGTTACCTAATTCACTTATCTAGGGAGCATTGTCTCAACTACAGGAGGAACGGACAAGGATGTCAAATCGGGAATCGGAAAGGCGAGAAACACATTCATCAACCTGAAACCAATCTGGAAATCTTCGTCACTGAGCATCAACAACAAAATTCGGATTTTCAATACAAACGTCAAGTCAGTCAGTTCTTCAATACGGATCAGAAACTTGGCGGGTCACAAAGAATATTTCCAACAGCCTGTTACAGACCTTTATCAACAACTGTTTTCGCTCCATACTGAAGATCAGATGGCCGGGAAGAATCACAAACAAGAAACTATGAGAACAAACAAAACAAAAACAAAACATTCGCCCAACAAATATGTAGGAGAAAGTGGAGATGGATTGGACACTCTCTGAGGAGGCAGCTGGGTGACATCGCGCGTCAGGCCAACGCTCGAGTGGAACCCGAAAGGGAAGCGGCGAGTGGGACGTCGGTGCAAGGGTGACATGGAGGAGATCGTGTGAAGAGGAGTTGAAACAGCATGGACTAACATGAACCCAAGTGAAAAGTACAGCAGAAGACAGAAACAAGTGGAGACGTGCAGTTGAAGTCCTATGTTCCACTAGGAACCCAAGGGAACAATAATTTAATAATAATGGTTTGGTTGTGTTCTCCGAGGAGCTGTTTGATTTGATTGTGAAGCTTTTGCTTGTCCTGCTTCTAGAGAAGATTCCCAGAACAAACAAGTTTTTAGTAAGAAATGAACTTGTCTGAATTTTGCATGAATTATATAATTGTAACTTAGATGGTTAGAGGTAATGGGCTCCGCTGTGACCTAGGTTTCATGCTAGTTAGCACTCATCAGTCAACCAGCAAAGAGTATTTCCAACGTTGAAGGAACTCATGTCCCTTCCTAGATTCGAACCCACGTCACCCAGTGATCCAGTCAGAGACGTTATCACCACTGAGTTAATCGGCTTCGTAATCGATCTCCTGTAGGACTGATTGTATTAGATATTTTAATAAGACACCAGTTAGTGACTAGTGTAATGAGTCTAGTCCTTTATTTAGTACAGACTGGATTCTATCAGTCAATACGATTGCTTTATTCAAGATATTCTCAAGTGAGGAGAGGAGAAAAAATGCCGTAAGTGTGACTCACCGCTGTACCATTACGTCTTAACATGTTGATATTGAACTTTTGTAGTAAATGTATTTGAATAGGTAATTTCTCCAACTGAACCACTGATTGTATGTGAAAATTTGAGCACGTATCTTTGAAAATAAAATATTAAATTATTCTGTAGGATTAATTTGAGTTATGATAATAATAATACTAATAATAATCTACTTTATTCCAAAAAGCAGCACTTCTAGTACAGAATGAAATTCTCGCCATTTGTCACAATAACTTGCATCTGATTTACTCAAAATATAAATAAAATTAAAAATTAAAACAAAATTAACCAGAGGAATTTGTCCACATTTACGATATAAAGTCAAAAATATTAGAAGCACGATTTGAGAATAATAAATACAAAATTAATAATAATAACAATGAGTTTGTTTCAAACAGTATTGTTAATACAGTTTGGAAATTTTAGCATGTTATAGATTATTGAATCTAATGTTCTGCTGATACAGAATGGTGAAGGGAGATACAAAATTAACAGTTATAACACAGCTTAAATGATGTTCACGCTTGTGAAAAAATAAACTAATAAATTGAGAGGATTATAAATATAAGAACAATAACAATAAAGGTTGATGCTGTAAGTGTGAAGGAAACGGTTTATTTGTACTTAGACGTACGTTCATAAAGTTTTTTGAAATAGCTTCTTGTTTTACCTGAGGGGATACAAGTTTGGAGCTGCGGTTAAAGTAGATGCTCACAGTCTGACAAAATTCCCTTAGCAAATTTTATTGTATGAAATCAAGTGCCTATCAGTGACAATGTCAACGATATGGCCCAATGGGATACCACCACTTGCCTTTTTGGCAGTCTTCATAGTTCTACGAAGTATGACATAGTCTTTTTTTAAGCGATCCAGGAAAGAATAAGCATGGGTGAACAGTAAAGTAGAATAGGTAAGATGCACGCGTTGACAAACTGTAAGAGGAGAGGTTGGCTGAGTTATGCCTGAATGCCTTAAATTCCTAGTGTGAAAAGTCAGACGAAATATTCTCTTAGAAATCGCTAAGACTACTTTAAGATATTCTTCTTGGATTTCCTTCGGAAAATTCCCAACGGTGTGTGGAAACTTATTTCAAAATAGTGTGCGACTATAAATAGTGACTCACTGCGTTAATTACATCATTAATATTAAAATGTATGGGTGTACTGGTGAGCGAAAATGAAAGGAAAAGAATGGATTAATTTAGGGTTTCAACTAACCGCCTTTGAGTTGTCGACCAAGTGGTGAGCGATTTGGGGCAAAACTAGAGACCGATTGGTAAAACACTATCAGGTGCATATATATATATCGACAAAGCAATAAGAAGACTTAATTTGTCTGAATCATGTAATGCGTATTTGCGCAACACATTTTGAACAATCTGATCACACACGGATAGAATCTTCAGAACACATTAATGGTGAGAACAGGAGACCTAACTCCTCTATTGCGAAACATATATTATAGATGGCACAGGACATAAAATTGATATTTACACATCTTTTAAACCTATCCACCCATAAAACGTGTTTGGGGGAAGACGTATCCTAAAGTTTGTGGAAGCCGTGGTTGGCAATTAGGAAGTGTAAACCACTTTTATGCGTTCAAAGCAACAATTCGTCATCACACTAAAGCTTCCTTGGAAAATTTTGTTTTGGTACCAGCCAAGGCAGATATACCTTTGTGGTGAGAGCTGTCTGCAAAACAAAATTGTAGACAACAATTGACGTGAATGTTTACGTCCTGGATCGGAGTCATGAGAAAAAACAAGAAAAAAAAGCTTAACCTTGATGAACTCACCAACCAATCACAGAAGACTTAATGTGTGAGGATACGATTCGCAGATATGTGGCCTGACTATCTGAGGAACGACCACAAATAGATGACAGAATAACTTTCAGCAAGAAAACAGCCAATCAGAAGACGTTGCTTCTCTGCTAACAGTAACACTTATAATAATGTACATAAAAATCTATAAATATCTGTTGATTTTCTCAATAAACGATCTGTTGCCTGGCCCTTGTCTTCTGCCGTTACACTATTACCTCCCTTCTTGAGTTTAGTGATCGTCATTGTAACTGATTAAAAATGCTCATTAAAATTTTCAAAAGAATGGATACTAAACAAAGAATACTCTTTTCGATAACCTGCTCTTCATCATCAGGTTCAATAGTTATATATACATTATAGTGAGTGAATGAATTAATTGGCGTTATTAACAACATTAATGTTATTTAAATAACATCGAATCAATAATAATAATATCAATAGATTACAGTTCAGTAGCATCAACATACCGATAAACTGAATATCAGAAAAATTAGGAAAGATAATAATACTAATCCATGCATTTAAAGTCTCTACTGAAGGCTGGCCAACGCAGTAGTAGTGGCTAGCTGGACTTGCTTCTTTTGCACACAGAGCACTGGTTGTTACACGTGAATTGAGATAGCCTCTGCTGTTTGAAGCATGCGGTACTTCGATGCTTTCGGCAATTTATTTGGCATCCGGTAGATGATAGAGAAGGATTCTTCAATGCTGTCTGGCTTTGTGGCCGATCGGTTTGAAGTAGGTGTTCTAATATGAAACTACACCTTCACTTAGCCATACTGGGAGATGTTATTATGACCTTCAGTATGTCCATTTAACATGACCTAATTCTATTTTCTCACCTCTTAATTCTTTATTGATTTCATATATATTCATTCCTATCACAAGTCCATGTGTGATCAGATTGTTCGAAATCCGTTGAGCAAATAAAACTTATACAATTCAGACATCTTACGTCTCCCTATTGCTTTATCTAAATTGGTAAGGGGAACTAACTGTTTTAATAGTAGCCTTATTCTGAAAAATGCGTTTATATACAGTATGGAATTTTCAGGGAGTTCCATCGCAAGGTATTTAGTCTTTATGCAGAACCTTCAAATAATATGTGTTAATCAATAATATATCATTTGAAGCAATACTGTTGCGTCCAAAGGTTTTCCAGTACTACTTTAGAATGTTCTTCCTCGATTTCCTACAGAAAATTCTTAGCAATGCGTAGAAACGTATTTCAAAATAGTTTGCGACTATGAATAATGACTCATTGCGTTAATAGCATCATTAAAACAATTATGAAATGGAGTATACCCGATTTATTTCGATGTGATAGTGTTCCCACTGAGGCTCGAACCCACTGCCCATAGTTTCAAATGCTAAAGAGTTTACAGGCACACCCAGAAGACGAGTCCCGAATAGGACGAAATGCGCATTCTGGATTCCACTGTTAGTCACCATCCACCAACTGATTTAAATATTTAATTTGTTTCGAAGGATGAAAAACTAACCTTTAGTAGTGAGTCCAAAACGATCCATTCTTTCAACAGGGTATTGTTGCTTTAATAATTGGAAGAAAAATTATGGAAAAAAGTAGTATATGTAGTTAATTCATTTATGAAAATAAACTAAATTCTTATTTCTCTTGACTAAAAGTACCTGCTTAAATGCAAGACTTCATTCCATATACTTCACGAAGAAGGGCTTACCCATAACAGGAAGACAGAAAGTGACTTTTGAATCTCTTACAAAGAGGTTTACTTGTGTAAGTATAAGAACCGGTTGCTGGCTAACCAGATGTACCTTTGTTTCAGTAACATGACTTTAAACGAAACATCTATCACTTCGACGATCAAATTACCATTGAATCATCAAGGAGACGAATTTTAGATTAGATGAAGTGTTATGGACATCATTTCTAACCACTGAAGTACAAGACAGGCATTTTTAAAATATCATACAGTGTTAGACTCAGTAAAGCTTCGGAAAATAGATAGAACTGCACGAAGGCATCATTTTAAAATAAAATTTGATCAGTAATAAATTAAATAGTTCACACATAGGTTTATCAACTGTCAAAGTAAAGTTAAGAATTATGCCTCTGTACACAATCACATTATTGACGTGTGCATTGGCAGTTGACTGTCAGGTCTCTGGCTAACCACATGCCGAGTCTGAGTTCCATTCTTGGCAGGTGCACTCTTCAACCTCGCCTAGTTGGTAAGAAGCCCAGAAAAGTATGAAATTTCAAACATGTATTCCCCTTAATGAATTCGAATAAAGCAAGAACAGCAGTTTGTGGTGCAGAATAAAGTGGTACCATCATTGTTGATTTCGTTGCCTTCTCATCAGCTGCTTACAGGGCAAAGATATTATTAAATGTATCTACAGAAACAATTTTAAAATACTTGCACAGATTCCATTTTAAACAAAAATCAATCAATCAGTATATGCATACAGTAATAATACCTATATATACATAATATATTAAACACTATTCCGAACAATAATAACCATACACAGTGGAAACTTTTCAACATTTCACATTCAGATGAAAGAGAGATGAAAATATCAAGTTACCATGGCAAAGAAAGACTGATAACCGCTTCTTTCTGGACGCACAAATCAGGTTTCAGGCACTTGAGCAAAAGAGCTCAATTCTTGTCAAGTTTGCTGAAGCCATTTCCATTAAGCGCCCATATACATATATTATTACTGTATGCATAAATTGATTGATTGATTTTTGTTTAAAATGAACTCTGTGCAAGTATGTTAAAATTGTTTTTGTAGATATACTTAATAATGACTGTGACTTGTAAGGAGCTGATGAGAAGGCAACGAAATAAACAGTAGTGGTACCACTTTATTCTGCACCACAAACTGCTGTTCTTGCTTTATTCAAAAAGTGTGAAAGTTGGCCGTTAGATTTAAAACAGACCCCCCTCCGCTGACAAAAACAACACCTCTGCGACTAGCACTTTGAAAGCTTGAAGCCTTATATTCCATTGGAAACTTAGAGAATGGAAACAACATCGAGGTGGGGATTAGATTAGCTTGTTGCCATGGTGATAAAGTGAAACAATCAAATATTGGATTTACATATTTTCTTCTTCACCTCATTATGATATGGTGTAAAGCATCAGACGGTGAACATACTTTTGAGTCATTAATTCTTTCGTAATCTGAATGACATTACGAATTAGCCTCACTTTCCAAAAACCAATGCCCTGGCTGAGGAAGCCACAAAGACAGGACTTCATTTGAACATAGAAAAGACACAGGTGATGATGGTAACCAAACAAAATCTAGAACACCCAGCACCAGTCATCATCAACGGGAAAAATTTGAAGGAGATCACTTACCTCACTTGTCTCACTATGCAGCATCTTTTCAACAACATGCGGAACGGATGAAGATGTCAAAGCCAGCCAGAATCGGAAAGGCAAGATATGCCTTCATCAATCTGAAAAGAGTTAAGAGAACTGCTTCCCGCAGGAAAAGGAACAAGACTCGGATTCTGTTCAACACAAATGTTAGGTCACAGAGTTGCACTGCGTGTCAAAAAAATCATTTACCACAGACTGAAGACTTTCATTAACAGCTGCCAACTTGGCTTGCTCCACACTGAAGGTCAAATGGCTGGTCAACCAGAAAGAATTAGCAGCAAGAAACTCTGCAGTGGAACAATCCAATCGAGAGCTGATTGCTCAACAAATATGTAGGAGAAAATGGAGATGGACTAGTCATACGCTGAGGAGACCTCTGTATGACACTGCGCGCCCTCCCTCGAATGGAACCCGGATGGGAAACGAGGAGTTGGGCGTGTTTTCGAGGGTGACACGAAGGAGATCGGGAGAAGAGGAGATGCGAGACAATGGTAAATCGTGGGGCCAGCTAAAGTAAACTGCTGTTGAAGCCTATGTTCCACTCGGAACCCAAGTGGACAATACTGATAACATATTACTTCCAACCCACCTTTATATTGATGAATGAATGAAATTTTGGTCCAACAATAACTGACTGATCATTTATGCTATGATCGCTGTCTAATTCTTCGTTATCGCTTTGACAGTTGGCGCTCTTCACAATTAAATAAAATCCTGTATATCCCTTATTTGGTATAATGTAATCATATTCTTGTGGATCCAAAATTAGCTTCAGTTCTATACCTTGAAGTAAAATAAGGCAAATGATAAAAACAAGGATTTAATTGAGATTTCTAATCACAAATTGACTTCAGTTAGGATATCTGCTTTGTTTTTATTTGAGACTCCTCAACAGTACGCCCCCACGGGCCCGTCAGAAATTGAACTATAGATATTTCAAATTACAAGGCAAGGTGTCCATTCAGGTTAGGGTGAGAACAAATGTTCATCTGTGACATTGACTGGAGGTTGTGTTATACAGTGCAAATTGGCAAAGGTTGAGAGATTGGCCCGTAATCTGAAGGTCATGGTTTCGAACCTCAGTAGTGTCATTTGTGTGTAGCGTTGAACAGCCTCAAAGTTAAACGAAACAGTCGTCCAGCACTCCTTGGTTCTCAATGGCTTTCTAACTTTGAACATTTCGTGATCACATTCAAATCAATCAGATCCGTACAAACTAGCATGTAAAAGAAGCTCACTTATCCTCTATGCATCCACCACTGTTGAATTGCTACTAGCTTTGTTTTAATTTTCTCAGTCATTTCCATTAATTCTGTTCACCGATAAAACATCATTTATCGATGTCATCAAAAATCACAACTTTTCCTATGAAAACTCTCTTCATTAAACTGAAATTCAAAGATGACATCGAAGCTGAAATTCTTAGAAACCATCTTTCTAAATATCTGAAGAAGGCAGTTCACACAGCCACCTTGTACATCACGCTCTCCAGTTGACAATTTATCCAGTCTAACGTTTAGGATAAGATACCACTTTTGGCCACCTCAGTATGCATTTATCAGTTTACTTGTTCGTGTGAAGCAAAGTATATCGGCCATACGCAACGTCAAGCCCACAAACGTATTCTAGAACACTGTTCAGCTTGACTAGACATTCGCAGGAGAAAAGAAGAATAGTAGCAGCTCCATTCTTGAACACCTTGTCAACCGTGGATATCGAACACCCCCCACATGAATGCTTCACAGTGCTACACAAAATCACTCAATATCGTAGGAAACGACTTCGAATACGCCATCTGTAAATAGCTGAATCATTGCCTATTCGAAATGTGAAACCGGACATCTGCATTCAAAAGCACCACATACATTCACTCGCCCTACTGTGGTCACAGTAACGTTCTCACTATAATTTTGCTTTCTTTTATTATGTAAGTTTACTACTATTAAACTCATCATCCTTATTTTATTATCACTCTAAAACTGTTAATTAAAGACACTGAGTTTTCATACAGATTTTATGAAAACACTCTGTCGTCATTCCACTAGTTCATGGGTACTCTACACAACTAAATTGATTAGTCATTTTCTCACACTTATTAAGTCATCTTAACTTCTGCCCACTTTTATAATTTCCAATTAGTCATCCCCTACCAGATAACAGCATGCATTACGTAATGACTTTCTTGAGGACAGATTTTACCAGTATCTGATTGGTCTTATGAATTCTTTGTTAGCTATAATTACCATAGTACAGCTTATGAAAGTGGGAAGCCATAACCAGTAGGGTACAGCAGGTTGAAGCTGAGGACAGTTGCTCATAGAACAAGACATTGCGAGGTGGTCACGCTAAAATCACAAACTGGTAGAATTTAGAACTCATGGACCATTGGAAGGGGTCCCAGTGGCTTAATGGTCTATGAGCTTGCTAGCATTAAAACCAGAAGATCCTGGGTTCGAACCCTGTTGGTGAGGGCATACTGACGAAGAGTCCCAAACTAACTGTCCAGTTCTCCCAGCTTGTTTTTCTATGGTTCTTTAAACGACTGTAAAATGAATTTTCAAAATGCTAACTTACTTTGCTGATGATGTCTTGTTCCTATAAACATCATTTCATTCGCTACAACTCATTTTCTGAAATTATAATCTTCATTTAATACCAAATTTTTCATGATACCCCTCTAATTTAATTATGCCAACTTTTAGAAGTAAAATTTAATAGTGATTACGAGTGTATGAGCATTGAGAGTAAAACTTCAGAAAAAACCTTTTCTGATGAGCTTCTTGCTTTCTCTCTAAAGTAATGTCAATCCACATCATAAATTAAACTTAAGCATATCGTGAAATAACTGTTTATGGGTAAATTTTATTCATATTCATATTTATTCATATCAAGTTGATATGATTATGAGCAATAAATTGTGCTCGAAACTTAATCAGTAAATATTACTGTATAACACTGTGAGACTCTATCAAAATAAAATTTACCCATAATGGAATTACACTCTACCACAGTGCCCAAGTTTTATTCTTATATCAAATAACTGTTTAGTCATATTCTGAACATTTAGAAAGTTCCCTATACACACATAAGTCGTGTGTCTTACTGAATTATAGTCATCCAGTTTGTTATGTTGTCGATAAGCTAGGTGACCTCCTATCGTGATGCATATTTGAACTGATCTAAGGCGGTGGAAGTCAATCGATGAGATCTTCTAATGACTGCTTGCACTTATCTATAATATCCTATATTTTGAATTAATTGTGTTCTCTGGGGAGTTGGTTGTTTCAGTCGCTAAGCTTTCGCTGTCTTCTCTCTTCCAGACAACATCGATTCTCCATAAATGAATCAGTGAATGACATAATTGTATCTCCCTACTGACAACCATTTTTGTTACGACTGGTTGTTAATTTACACCTCTATTGATCATTTTTATTGATTTGGAATCTGAACTTTCTTGTCATGTGGGATTTACTTTATATTAGTTGGTAAATTTAGTCTATACTAATGTGCGTTTGTTAATCGTTGGCTGATTCATTTGAGTACCAACCAGGCTTCTAGGAATCCTTTGATTTCATTTCTGATGTTTCCTCAAATTGGAATTTCTACATTATCCCAATCATCCAATTGGTGTCCATAATTATTTACATGTATTGATATGAAACAGGAATATATATCATGTCTTTTCACAGCCAGTGGGTGTCCTTTGACTGCAATTTGAAGAGGCCGCCCATTTCGGCCGATGTAATGTCTGTTACAGTTCATACATGCAATTTATTTTGTAAATGGTAACATTTTTATCTTCCCTTTTTGTTGCATCTTTCGGTTTGTACAATATTGAATGAAGTGATAGCTAGCTTATGTGCGATACCGATTTCAAACGGTTTCAATATTCTAGCTGTTATTTCAGAGATATTTTTTATATATATCGTAGGATGATGATGGTTTCTCGTTGGTGATGTGACTCAATTTTAAACACTTTTTGATGAAATTGTGAGGATAACCATTCTTCTCAAAGATGATAAATAGATATTTTTATTCCATTCTTTTCAACGCTACAGTGCTACAGTGTGTTTGAACTCTTTCAAACAATGTCTGTTCACACTTTTCTCTGTGGATAGTTGAGTTATTACTACTACAGTTGAGCATTTGATCTGTGTGTGGGCGTTTATTTTCCATATACTTGTGTTTCTAAATTTCCTTTGTTAGTTCTCTTGATTAAGGCATCTAAAAGTGTGATTTTGCTGCCATCTTATTCTTCTTCTCTTGTGAAACTAATGTCGTCAAATATGTTGTCTATTAATTTATGGATATATATATTCGAATTTATTTCTTTTAATTATTACAAATGTATCATCAATGTAACGTACCCAGACTTTTGGTTTAATTATAGGTAGAGCTATTAATTTTAATCTTTGGATGATGGCCCCAGCTATTTATCCCGATATAGTGCTCAAGTGAATCAGCTAGCGATTAACAAACATATTAATAATAAAACAAATTTATTAGCTATTAAAAAGTAAATCACCTGACAAGAAAGTCCAGATTCCAATTCAATAAAAAAGGATCAATAGATATGTATATCAACTTCCAGTCAGGAAGACGGTTGCCAGGAGACACAATTATATCATTTATTCATTCATGAAGATTTCAAATGAGTTCATTTTATACCAAAAACTATGCTGAAGCGATGTTGTCCAGAAAGACAACGATAGCTTCGTGGTTAAATCAACCAGCTCCTCAGAGAACATAACTAATTCAAATTCATCCACCTAAGGTATATATCTTCTCTATTATTTCAGTATCAGATGTGGTGGGTACGTACTGCTGGAGAGTCCTAAATTAAGACGAAACAACTGTACAATACTCCCAGCTGGTTTTCCACTGGTTATGTACCTGATGTCAGCTCATGATGAAATCCTCCATCTAACAATACTTCAGCCTGGTATCCTTTGATTCGTGGTAGTTACTAGGTCACTCCATCATGGACTTCTAGACCTCCTTGAGAATTCGGCTGGATGTGTGTGAATACCTAGTAAGTGATGGACATTAAGTCTAGTGGCCTAGTAGGTGATGCTTTGGAACTTGAAGTGATGGCCTTCTGAAACCAGTCTTATTAGGAAAGCTTTCACTCACTGTGGAGCATCTGTATCCAGCTGACGGGTCCAAAATAAGACAAAACGTCGCTCCTAGACTCCAGTACTAGTCATTACCAACCAAATAACATCATATTCATCCCAAGACATTGTTGAAATGTCTCTATGCGCAGTATTTCGCATCTAAGCATGGAGACAACTATTTCTGATGCCCGAATAAAAGTAAGATAGTGGGGTAGAAATGCGACAAAATGTATAGAAGCAGGGCACAGAATTCTTTTGTTATATCTATTTGATGAAAATAGTAAACATTCTTAGAAAATACTTCCTACTATTCATCTAGATGATTGTCAAAAATGTTCAGATGTGAAAGAAATCCAGAGAAAAAGAAAAGAGAGAGAGAAAAGAAAATTCAATCACATCAACACTCATCTCGGTATTATCATCAAAAAATCAACCTACCGACCTACCAAGGACACATTCACATTCTGCCGACAGTCAACCGATAGAAAATACTATTATGGTTATTAATAAAACCAAATGATGACAGGGGATACAAGGATTTTATTATTTTTTTGTTTTCCTTCTCACATTAGAATTTATTGTAATTTATCACCAACGCTGTCAACACCTGCATATATACTTGCTACCTTGCTCTGTGTCCCTAACCTTTGGAAACAGAATTTTCTACTTCCTATTGATATTACCTTGGAAGTATTCTCAATCTGGACCAAAACAGCATGTCGTTACTTTTCATAAATATACATAATGTGGATTAGATCACACCACGGTAAAGTCTGTAGCTCAAATGAATGATTTCGATTTAGTTATGTCTCTTCGAATTGAAGACCGGAGTAAGAAAAGGCTGGCTGGCTGCCTACTATCTCCAATGATTTTCATGATTGTAATAGACTGACTGGCTAATGTGACAGAGAGCTGGCCGGGCAACGAGGAGAAAGGCATAAAATTGGACCCACACAAAAGAAAAACTTGGAGGATCTGGATTTCGCCGATGTAAAATATTTCTGATTTCACACAAACTGGAAGATATGCAAGTGAAAAGCAATAAGTTGACGGTAGAAGAAGCATACAGTAAAGACAGGCTTTCAGGTGAACATAGAGAAGACAGAGGTGATGAAGATTCCTAGCCAACAGCAACAGCAACAACAACAACAGACAACAATCAGCATAAATTGGAGAAATCTGAAAAAAGCAACCGCATTTACCTACCTAGCTACCTACCTGGGAAGCATCGTTTCAACTACAGGCAGACAGAACTGATGAGGATATCAAAGCGAGGATCGGGAAAGTAAGGCAAGCTTTCATTACTCTCAAAGCTGTGTGGAGGAAGTCAACAGCACTCAGCATGAAAATGAAAATTAGATGCGAATTTCAAATCCAATGTGAAGTCAGTGCTACTTACTATGCGGATCAGAGAATTGACGCGTCCCGAAAGGCACTTCAGACAAATTACACACCTTCATCAACAGCTGCCTTTGCTCAGTACTCACGATCAGATGGTCAGAAAAGATCAGCAAAAGGGATCTCTGGCAATGAACGAACAAACCCAGCAGGAACCGATTGTGCAACAAATATGCAGGAAGAAATGGAGGTAGACTGGATTGGCCATACTTTGAGAAAACAAACCATCATCAAGTGGACGACATCACACGCTAGATCATCGCTCGAGTTAGACTAGAATGGTAAGCAGTGAGTTGGTCGCCAGTGCGAGGGTGACATGGAGTAAGTCCTGTAAAGAAGAGGTGAAGGCATGTGAGCAAACGTGGAACCAGATGAAAACGTTGTCAGAGAACCGAATGGAGTGGAGAGGTGCAGCTGAAGCTCTATGTTCCTCTAAGAACTGAAGAAAACAATAATAATAATATTTTCTCTGAAGAGCTGCTGGATTCACTCACAAGACTTTTCTCGTCTCCTTTCTTCGAGACAACATCGCTTCAGCACCTTTCAGTGTGTATTCAACTTACTTCAATTCTCCACGAATAAATCATTGAATGAATGATATAATTGTATCTCCTTACTGATAACCATTTTTGTCATGATTGTTTGTTAATCTACATCTCCACTGATTATTTTTTATTGACTTCGAACCTGAACTTTCTTGTCAGGTGATTAATTTGTTATTAGCTGGTAAATTTGTTCTATGGTAATGTGATTGCTAATCACTCATTCATCTGAGTATCGGGCTTCTAGAAATTCCCTGGCCCTTTTGTCGCTTCCTCTATTTTAAATTTCCACATTATCCCAATCAACTTGGTGTGCGCAGTTATCTACATGCATTGATACGAAAGAATATATATAATGTCTTTTCACAGCTAATTTATGTTCTTGGATTCCGATTCGAAAGGGGGACGCCCACTTTGACCGACTTAGTGTTTATCGCAGTTCAGAGAATTTATTTTGTTGGTGAAATTAATACCATTTACAAGACAAACTGCATGAATTGCAGTTTAATACACTGGTCAAATTAGGTGCCCCTCTCTAATCCGAATCTATG